TATTATCTGTACCACTTTGCCCAAAGAAACCCAGCCCAACATAGTAACACCAGAACAATTCTTTACCTCCTATTTTCCCTTGACAGATAAAGAAAACAGAACCATCTGCCAGAAAGAAAGCAGAGCTGATCTCTGCTGCCCTTAGATGCCATCTGGCTGTGGTCTTTCCTGAGTTTATTTGGCCCAAGGACAAAGCCCATTTATTTCAGATGGGTCAACACTGTCACCCAGTGGACAGACAGCTAGGAGGCTGAGGCCTCACCTTGCTCCTGCCTGGACAGCGAGTATTTGAATAGGAACATGTTTGTTTTATATGACCACAATAATTGTTACTATTCTTTTACAGGGAACGGAGTAGAAGGAACACTGCTGACAAGCCTTTGATTTGAGTGTCACGAATAAGCACAATTGAGGGATGACATATATTTTTATTGTGCTGGTGCTATTTTCGTTGTTGTTTTAACTACCAGGTAGGGTGTTTAACTACCAATTTAACTTCTTAAATTCATGGGAAGCACAGATTATAAACCAACCAAGCATGTCTGCTGAGACTCACAGGATCAAGTGGCCAGGTGGGAGCAGGGTTGGTATTTGATTGCTTGCCAGTTCTGTGGGAAGACTTTCCTAGGGCAGAGTAAGACAAATTTTTCATTGTTCACAGTGACAGCGTATTTTGAAAACTGAGAATAGATGTTTTTGTGCCCATGTGGATTGAAACCTGAGGAAGTGATTCACTTTACTGTAATGAAATCAATGAATGAACTACTCTTGCTTTATCTATATGTTTCTTGAAAGACATGAACAGAGGCAGCCTCTACCTCATCTATTTGTCCTGAGTCCCTTTCTCTTAACTAAACTGTCCTCTGACACTTGTAACAAACCAATTTATTTTCACATTAAGGCAAGAGGTTCTTGGTCTAAGCCTTTCTTGCTAATGTATCTTTACATTTGTTGCTTCCTCCCGGTTACAATTCCTAAACATGTTGAAGGTATTTATCTGGCATCACTTTACACTTCTAAAAAAATGATTTGAAATGTTACTTATTTTATATACCATGTCTAATAAATGAATGATTCATGGTAACCCAGTAAGATGAATAACTTCTTTTGATGTAGATAAAATTTTTCTACGTTCAGGCCAGCTGACCTTGACTAGTCTTTCTATTTGAAAATCCAAATGAGTTTATAAGGAATATAATATCTTAGGGTGTTTTGATCTCTATAGAGGAAATAATATTAAACAAACCACAAGAACTTGTTCTTTGTTACCACAGAATTAAGTATAAGGCAACTTCCCATATTTATAGATCAATGTTTGATGGTTCTTAGGAAAAATACTCTCATTGATATTTGTGGTTCTAATCCTACAAGTTAATGTGGTTTTTGAAAATATTTCATTGAAATGCCAAGTTGTTTTATTGAAGTAGTTCATACTGGATTGCCTAAACTCTACTTTGAAGTATATAGCAAAGAAAGGCCTGTACTAAAAAAAAGATCATGTTTATGAGAATGACTGAGCTTCTAAGCAATGCAAGAATATTCTGTAGGCCAAAGTAGGGGAGGGATATAGGGAGCTAGCTATTCTTTATCTTGATTAAGAGAATTCTTAATAGGGAACATGAGCTATACACATCTTCACCTCAAACTCTTCCCTTGTACATTATATATAAAAAGTTACATAATTACACAGAAATGGAATTTCTTCAACAGCCAGTTTCACCAAAATAATGACTAATTTTCAGAGAATATATGTTTAAGTTCAAAAATACAGAAGGCAAAGTAAAAGTCACAGTTAGGAGTTAAATGGTTTTCTAACTAACAGTCTCATCATCATATCCAATAATTTAGCCATAGAGTTCACTTCCTGGGAAAGTTACCAAGATCATCATAATCTCTCTAAAAAAAAAGTCTTGATTCTTAGCTTTCTTTCGAGCATGATTGATACACAGGGGAATCAAAGACCAAAACAGACATCACTGAAATGCCCAATTTCTATATCACAAGAGAACTCTACATATTGGCTTTATTCTCTGTTGGAATATTCAATACTAAAGAATATTCTTACCGCTATCCTCAAATGGTACAGTGCAATACTAAGTTTCATAACTAGACAATAACTGAAACACTAAGTAAGACAAATCAGTGATTGAATATTCATAATAAATAGGTATCTTTAAGTAGCCTTTTGACCTACTGGGAGTGAAACTTCACCTTGTGGGAACTCTTGGAAAGTTTTGGTTAAAAGCAAAGTTTCCATTCATTGTGAGAAAATCTGGCTTTGAGTTCTACCCCCACCATTTGCTAACTCCTGGACTTTGAACAAGTTACTTACTCTAAATTTCATTTTCTACTGCTATTTTCAGGGGTAATACTAACAGCAAACCCCTGGATTGCTGTGGGATTTAAGTAAGAAACTACACATGAATAATTTAACACAAACCTCAACAAATATTAGTGTTGGCATTATCATACAATGACAGCAGTCATACTTATTCCTCAATGCAATTTTTACAAAAGACCTCTAGACTAGCAGATGAAATCATGGAATTTTTTTTTTAGCTAAAAGTGTCCTGAGAAATCATCCAGCCCATTGCTTCTCATTAAAATTATCCAGGGAAATGTAAAAAAAAAAAAGTTATACCCTAACATAGCCAGACAAAAGAAGATTTATTGTATGAATCTTTTTAGATGAAATTCTAGAAAAGCCAAACCCAATAAGTAGTAACAAAGCACATCAGTTGTTGCCTGGGGATAACAGTGGAAGGACTGACAGCTAACGGACTGAAGGAAACTTTTGGGGGTTTTGGCAATGATTTCTTTCTTGATGGTGGAAGTGGTTACACAAGTACATATACATACTTGTCAAAAATCATGGGCACGGGGGCCTCCCCTGGTGGCGCAGCGGTTGCTGGGCTGTGAAGCGGCCCACAGCCTCTGCAGTGCCGGTTCGATCCCCGGCCACTGGGTGAGGGTCCCACATGGTGCACAGACCTCTCCTGCCGTGCCCGCTGCTCCCCTCAGCAATGTACTTCGGTCCTGCTGCCTGTTCTGCTCCCCGCTCTGGCTCTGGTGAATCCTCTCACCCTCCCATGCTTCTGACTGTACCCAGTGCTTGTATAAATAAAAAAATAAATCTTTAAAAAAAAAAAAATCATGGGCACTGTACACTTAAAGTCAGTGCATTATTATATTACATGTGAAAGATACCATAACAAAGTTGAAGTAAAGAGAATATTGATGCTGGGTCTCACCCACAGAAATTCTAATTTAATTTTGGGGAAGGCCCAGGAATCAATATTTTTTCATGCACCAAAGGAATAAGCCAGGATTGAGAGGCCTAATCTGATCCAATTCTCTCCTCTTCCAGATGGAGTGGATCTTCTCCAGGCCCTAGGAAGGGCTGCAGCACACGTGTGTGTGTGTGTTTGTGTGTGTCCTCAGCACTGGATACTGTACTGGCTCAGAACAGACATTCAATAAACATTTGTTGAATTGAAAAATGGGTGGGAGTGAAAATTTATTAAGTGTCCCTGATGTGCCAGGAATGAAGATAAACATTTTACGTGTATTAGCTCACTGAATTTTTACAGTTTTGAGGAGGTTATGAAGGTGCCCAAATCAGACCATTCCAAGATTTTCAGAACTGGTCTCAAGACACCCCACTCTGGCATGCAGAGTATTTTGAGCTAAGAGTAATGAAATCCTGTGAGGCTGAGGAGACATTTCTTCCCTAAGGCCTTACCTAAGCGCTTCGCCATTCCCTAGCTGAGGAAGAGATTTTTATGTCCTAAGCTTCTGCCCTTTAACTAATGGGAGTAATTACTGCTCCCCCTTTATGTCCTGGAAGAAAGGCTGTAGATTGGATAGTCTTATCTAATTACAGGTTTATCAGTGAATACGTCCTCCTAAGAATCTCTTTACTCTCAGAGTAATCTTTACTCTCAGTGGAGATGAGGTAGCGCCCTCATGTCTGCTATGTGAAGTCTCCTTCTCTTTCTCCTTGATGCCCCTGGACTCTAAATGCAGGATAAATGTCCCTAGTCCACTTCACTATTCTTTAAGAATTTACATTGTTGTAAATTCTGTGTGTTATTAAATTGATTTTTCCCTTGCTAACCCTCTGATGCTGTTTTGATTACTCGTCCAGTCTAAGAAGAACCCAGAGAATTATAGGATGATTTATATTGCTCCCTGAGAGTTACCTTTTCCCCTTGGTAAGGGAGAAGACAGACTGAGAGAGGCTTAGTAACTGCCCAAGGTCACACAGCAAGCAAGCAGTAGAACAAAATTTGGACTCAGGTCTACTTTCAAAGATCATACTTTCTTTGCCATACTAGATTGTCTTGTGATGGTTATTCTCTTTGGTGGTAAATTATGAATATTTTGTATCCTTCCCTCAATTAGGTTTTAAATTTTTTTTTAAGAATTATTTATTTGTTTATACAAGAACCGGGGTAGAAGCCAGATTAGTGGGACGGTGAGAGAATTCACCAGAGACAGAGCGGGGAACAGAATAGGCAGACTGACTGAAATAAGCTGCTGAGGGGAGCAATGGGCGATACAGGAGAGGTCTGCCGCACCATGTGGGACCTTCCCTGGCCGCCCGGGATCGAACCGGTGCTGCAGAGGCTGTGGACAGCTTCACAGTGCTGCACTCAACCACCTGTGCCACCAGGGGAGGCCCAGGTTTTAAGTTTCTTAATGGCAAGAATTACATATTAGCATTTATAATCTCATATGATGAGATTTGGATGATTTGACCACTTAGCAGAGAATGCAATTTTTAACTTTTCTAGACTAATCATAAGGATAACCCAATAGTTATAAGATCTATTATAACCTGCAATTCTAGGAAGACCTGGAGTCAGCGGGTACTGCAGAAGGTTGTGATGGACGTGTTTCTGTATTCTTTCTAGCTTTGTGCACTCTGAATGATATTCATATCATGCAAGGACCATACCCAGCAGTCGGTTAAGAGTCCTATATCTCAAAGCACATACCAAAAATATCCCTGGAATGACATTGTGCCTTTGAACCAGAAGTGAACATTTGTTGCCAGTAAATCTAGATGCATGGATGGTGCTGTATTTGAGCAAGCGAAAGGAATCCGAACGACTCTTTAAAAGAAAGAAAGAAAATATTGGAATGACATGAAATCCCAGGTAATGAATCTTTTCCTCCATTCAATAGTATTTATAACTTTGAAGCAAAAAATTCTAGACTCTATCCCTATCATCCCATTAGAAATGTTGCTGTAAGCTCACCAAAGACCTCATTGCCAAAGCCTGTGGACAGTTTGAAGTTTATCACTTGACTGTTTTATGACATTTGAAAACTATTCAAAAGTTCCTCCTTTTCAAACTCTCTCTGGCTTCTGTGGGCTCACTCCCTTACGTTTTCTTCCCATTTCTCTCTCTAGAGTCTGTCATGCACAACGATCCCTCTGTATCTATTGTTCTAAAATCTCCCATCTTCCTGCCTGCCAGTGATTCTCTTCACACTTGAGTAACCCCCACTTTCCACTACTCTTTCCGTCTGCCAAATGTCTTCCAAAGTTGGTGCTCTTCTCTGAGATCTCGACCTATAGGTTGCATCACCTACTTCTTCATTGTCTTCACTCCAAGGTCTTACAGGTATCTCCAACTCAACCTGTCCAATCTGAATGTTTCACCTTTGTCCGCAAACATTCTTAGAGTGGATTAAGGATGGCTATAAGTTCTTTACTACTCTACCCACCAAGGGTTAGGGGTCTATTTCCATTCCCCTTGAATCTGAGCTGGCCCTGTGACTGCCTTTGACTGATAACATACTGGGTAACATTTTAAATAAAGATTTATTTTATTAATTTATGCATACAAGAGCTGGGGTGTAGGTCAGAGATACAGGGAGTGGGAGGATTTACTAGAGACAGAGTGGGGAGCAGAACAGGCAGATTGACTGAAATACACTGCTGAGGGGAGCAGCGGGCCAACAGCCATAATGTAGCACCTCAACTATACACTCCCCTCAGCAGTGTATTTCAGTCAATCTGCCTGTTCTGCTCCCCACTCTGTCTCTGGTGGATCCTCTTACCCCTTCCCCCGTACCCCAGCTCTTGTATGCAAAAATAATTAAATCTTTTTTAAAAATGGTGCTGCCATTGTTCTAATTGTGCAAAGGAGAATCTGGGAGACAACCTTCTCATTCAGACAAGAGGCTGGGAGACTTTTCTCCTTATTAAATGTATCAAGTATTATAGAGTTTTGTTTCTAAATCACATTCAGCATTCTATTTCATTCCCACTGTCACTACCAGATTGAGAAGGGGCAGAAGGGAGCTTGTTCAGGCTTGGAAATATTTTAGATCTTGACCAGGTTGGTGGTTATGCAATGGCATACATAGGAGGAAATTCATTAAGCTATATACTCCTAAGATTTGTGACCTCCTAAGATATATGACAGTCAGAGCTTAAAAAAATGGGTCTGTGTGGGAGTTCTTTCTGAGGCCGAGGAAATGTATTAAGATACAACGTACATGTAAATGTTATTCTACCATTTATTTTTATATACAGGACACTCACCTGAGTGCAAGGCATGCTTCTAGCTCTGTTCAGTTCCCTGTACACTTTGGTCACTTCCTTTACATTTTTGCCCTTATCCTTCACCGAGAACACACAGACTATAATGATCTGATCCACCGAGGATAGCAGGTTGCTTATAAGGTAGTCATACTCCAGGTCTGTCACTTCAGGGATGCTGTAAGCACTACATCGGCATGTGTCCCCTTCTTTCCCGCATAATGCCCTCCTTAGCACCACAGGACAAACCAAGTGGGATGTATCCTTGCTCTCAATGGGAAGAAGGCACCTAGAAATGCGATGGTTAGAAATCACATTTAAAGAACTGAAAAGACAGAAAGAACATCACTTTAAAAAATATCAAAGTTTTGGGCCTCCCCGGTGGTGCAGCGGTTGAGCGCTGGGTTGTGAGGCTGCCCACAGCCTCTGTAGCGCCTGTTCAATCCCGGGCTGCTCCCCGGCCACTGGAGGAGGGTCCCGCATGGCGCGCAGACCTCTCCTGCCGCCCGCTGCTCCCCTCAGCAGTGTACTTCGGTCCTTCTGCCTGCTCTGCTCCCCGCTCTGGCTCTGGTGAATTCTCTCACCCTCCCGCGCTTCTGACTGTACCCAGTGCTTGTATAAACAAACAAACAAACAAACAAATAAATAATACATGCCTCTTTAAAAAAAAAATCAAAGTTTTAACTGAAGCTTTGTAACCTTTCTAGATACTCTTAAATATGACAATTAAACTGAGGCAATGGTGGGTGGGAGAGAGTAGGATGGCAGAGTGGGGAAGAAGGGACCCAGTGGAACATGGTGGGGAATTATTTGGGCACTGGTGATGGGCAGGGTGTGAAAATATACATTTCTAGAGGTTTAAACCTATAACTCCCGGTTCTCCATGGTGGCGCAACGGGTCAAGAAGCAGCCTATGAATCTGTCCGCAGCCTCTGCAGCAGGAGTTCGATCCCTTGGCTGGCCAGGGAGCAACCCACATGGCGCAGCAGACCTCTCCTGACTTGCCCGCTGCTCCCCTCAGCAGTGTATTTCATCAGTCTGCCTGTTCTGTTCCCCACTCTGTCTCTGGTGAATCCTCTCACAACCCCCCATGCCACATCTCTCGCCTGTACCCCAGCTCTTGTATGCATAAATAAATGAATCTTTAAAATAAAATAAAATAAAACCTGGCCTAATTAAAAAAAAAACCTATAACTCCCAAAGCAGATACAATGACATAAACATACTTTACCTTAATAAACAAAATGTAAAAAAAAAATAAACATTTGAAAAGCATGCTCACAGACATGCATTCATAGATAAATAAAAAGTATCTAGAAGAGTATCTTTTATTATGATTAAAATATTCAATGTTGGCTTCCTTATGTTTGTTAAAGTCATGCTTTTCAAAATGTCTTGATGCCTTTGCTATGAAGAAAAACATTTCTACAAAATGATATTATATAATATATATTTACTTGTCAAAAGAAACTGGATATATGCAAATATAATACATTATATTTGCTTTAATGTCCCACTGGAACCATTTTCAATGTCTTGTTTTCCAGTATAATGTTATTTTCTCAGTATAATGCTTGTTAGTGAATTTATATATAGGTCAACTTAGAAATGGATCTTCTTTTATGGAAAGAGAGGCAAATAACTCTCAAAAAAATATTGTTGCTCTGAGGTTTCACAGAAAAAAAAAAATTCCCAGAAGAAACTAAAGAAACAAAAGTTATGGTTTGGGAATAAATTCAGCATAAATAAATGCAAATAAAAGTGAAGAAGAAAAATTCAAAGTGGCTTCTAATAGCTAGAAGTGTTATTGAGAAGACCTGGTATTCCCCTAACTTTTAAAAAATATTTCTATTCAGGGCCTCCCTGGTGGTGCAAGGGGTTAAGCACCGCACTATGAAGCAATCTACAGCCTCTCAGCACGAGTTCGATCCCTGGCCAGGGAGAAACCCACATGGCGCAGCAGACCTCTCCTGTCTTGCCCGCTGCTCCCCTCAGCAGTGTATTTCAGTCTGCCTGTTCTGTTCCCCACTCTGTCTCTGGTGAATCCTCTCACCACCCGCATCTCTGGCCTGTACCCCAGTTCTTGTATGCATAATAAATCTTTAAAAAAATATTTCTATTTCAAATAGCTCACAGACCAATTGTTAGGAGGCTGAACTGGTTTCGTTCCTGACTCTCCTCCCCACCAACTTTGCCTTTCTATTCTCTCCAGATAAGTCAGCACCTTCTATCATGATGTACATTTGAAGTTAACATTACCAATGCAACCTTTAAAATTAAGTTTATTGAATAAAGGTGAGAAGAGCAGTAAACAGACAAAAAAAAAAAAAAGGATCTACCTAAACTCTAAAATTCATGTATTCATAAACTTCAGTAACTGTTTAGTTTTCACATACAGAGATTAGTGCACAAAAAAATACTGGTAGCATAGTAATGTTTGGATATCTGGAAATGCTGAAAGAAATGAACAGCTGCATAAAGACATTATCTTTTTACCTATAGGTTCATTAACAAACCAATGCTGTTTCCACAGGAGACACATTTTATTTTTTCAAAAGATTTGTTTATTTACTTATGCATAGAATGGGGTGTAGGCCAGAGGTGAGCAGGGTGAGAGGATTCACCAGAGACAGAGTGGAGAGCAGAACAGGTAGATTTACTGAAATACACTGCTAAGGGGAGCAGCAGGGGCAACAGGAGAGATCAGCTGTGCCATATGTAGGTTAGCCCCTGGCCAGGGTCTAACTCAGGTGATAGCACTGAGACTTAACCCCTATGCCACCAGAGAGGCCTTAGGACACATTCTAGTTCCAGTGTTTCCTTTTAGGCAAAAAGCAAGTTGCCACCTTCTTAGTGATGGTTCAAAGTCACTACTGATGGGGTTGAACAACAGTTACAAATTTAAATATTACTTCATTTATAGAACTGTTCATTCTATTAGGTAGTATGCAACATGCTTCAAAGAATAAGAATGGAATTTTAAAAGCCCTGATTCTAATGAAATGTGATTGGAGAAAAATAGCAGCTTCTGTGCAAGATGATGTAATATTTTGTATAGAATACTGTTGAGGTTTAGCAGCCTATGAATAAAAGCACGTATTCACTTCAGGAACTCACTTTGAGTGCTGTCTACATATGTGCTATATGAACAAAAGAAATAAAATCGGCCACAATGTGAGGCAACACCTTCAGTTTTACCTACTACCTTGGTCTCTGAATAACAACTGACAGGCAGGCCAGTATTCATATGTCCTCGCCCTCATTTTATGCTTTGTTTATAATTTTTAGGAAATGCACCTTTTAAATCATGACATTTGCAGTAGACACTGGTGAACCTTTTTGGCTGAATACCAGGATTCGTTTCCACCTTTACTATTCTTAATGGGATCCCAGTTCCATCTGGTATCTGCCAGACCCATTTCTCTCAGGAGAGCTGCACAAGCAGGCAGGGCAACCAATAACTTCTGGCCTTAATTTACCACCAGTGAACACAGAGTCATGGGATTAGGTTTTAAACAGGTCTACTGAAGGGGTGAAAACAAATGGAATCAACTCTTGGCTGATTCAAATTCCTCTGTATCCTTTTAGTCATAAATGCTTGGAGATTAGGCTTGAATCTAAGCATATGAAACTTTCCCAGTTTTAGAATTTTTTTATTTTTTACAGATTGCATATAAGTGGCAACACCTTAGCCCAGCCTGCTTGGAAAGAACTCATGTTAACAACAATGTAAGGCCTTGCTCAGCATTGGTAGGCGGATGGCCTGAGACACCTACCTAAAACTCTTTAAACATATGCTGAGCTGTGAGTTATTTAGACAAACGATGAGGTGCTTACCTGAAGGACGACTTGCCGGCTGAGCTCTTCTGCTTGCGATGGCGAGGTGAAGGCTTAGAGGCACCCTTCAATTTTAGGAAGGTACTTCGATATCGCTGATACTCCTTAGCCTCATCTTTTTCCTTTGCACTTTGTTTCACTTTTTGTTTCCTGACCACTTTCTGTAGAAACTTGGGCATTTTGCAAATATGCATTAACTCTATTCCTGAAATGTAAACACAGTATATTTCACTGAAAACCCTAGTAGCCAAGGTATCTGTAGGCTGAGCTGTGTGGGTTAAATTGGTTGCAATAATCTGGATATTCCTTCACTCATTCACAGAAATGGCTTTCTGTCAGTTCTTTATTTTAAATGCACTCTTGATCTGCTCAGAGGATATACAATATCTGTGTATAAACAAGAGAAAATTCTAGGTTGTTAACAAATTGAATCCATATGAGTTTGTGTCACCTATGGCAGGTAGTGTGACAAGGACATTTAATACATTGTCCTATTGATGTAAGTGAACTTGTGAGGTGACTGCTCTTATTTCTTTGATATCACAGTTCTCCCAAATAGAAAGAAGTGGAACCAGGCTTTGAACAGGGCTTTTTGTTGCCGAATACTATGCTTTGGCCATGCTATCGACCAGTGCATCCTAATCTTTTTTCATCAAATAAAAAACTGTAAACTGTAAAGCCCTACACATGTAATAGGCAACATGATATACATGCGTATTAAAAAAAAAAAAAAGATGATGTATTTGCATGGCATATTGTGGTAGTTATTAGAATGCTTGCAGGTGGAATTAATTATCCCAGGGATTCAATCTCCCCGCTATAGCTAGGTTGCCCTGAGGGCTAAGGATTTCCATCTTTCAGTTCCTGTATAAATTTTCTGTGGTCCGTCCTTTGGGAAGTGTGTTACATACCATGGTGGGTAGCAAATTACTTCCTCAAATGGATAAGCTTGCCTTTTGGATTTAGCATAAAGTCAATCTTCGTCATTCACAGATTCCGTATTTATGCATTTGCCTGCCCCCTAAAATTTGTTTGTAACCTAAATCAATTTCTGCAGCACTTTCATAGTCATTTGCAGATGCATGTGGAGCAGTAAAAATTTATGTTGCATCACACATGTTCCCAGTTGAGCTTGATCAAGGCAATGCTTCTCTTTCTTGTTCCAGCTCTATAAAAAATTGTCTGCTTTTTGCACTCTAGTGTTTTGCATACCTCTGTCCTTTCTGTTGGTGATTTGCTGTTTAAGATGGCCTACAAGTGTAGTACTGAGTGCTGTCTAGTGTTTCATAGAACAAGAAGGTGTGCTATGGCTTGTGGAAAAAAAACACATGGGTTTAGCATGTAGTACCTGTGTTTAAACAGGTGTTTTATAACATGAGTTTAGGCATGAATTATAGTGCTGTTGGTCATGGTTTCAATGTCTTTAAACACAGGGGATGGTGGTGATGGTACATGGGTGAATTGGTGCAGGAAATTCTATGGCACCTGAGGGGAAAAAAGCAAACATTGTTCAAAAATGAACAATGATGTAAAGTATTTATAAATAAATTAATTTTAAAAATAAACACACAAAAATAAATATTGATTGGTTGACAAAAATAAAGTGACCAGAGGCTTGTAAGAAACTCATCCTATATTTCTCCAATGAGCAAAGGTTAAATATTTATTAATTCAGTGTTTGCAGAGACTTTATAGAGCTATTACCATGAATAATGAAAATCAACTATGTTATGTCACCAGTCAAGAACTGAAACAGTGATAAGCTCTGTATTTAAACACCAACTATGAGTTGATGTACTAGTAGCATATTCTAATCTGAGGACACAGACTCCCTTCTCAAAACAGCAAATGAACAAAAGATATTAACAAGGATTGAGGGTTTTTTGGTGGGGAGGTGAAGGGTGGATGGTTGAGAGGTAGGAGTATTTTCTGATCCAAAAAATGAATAGGAAAGCAATTCCCTTTATGAAGACATAAAAATTGTTAACTAGATTCTCCTAAGAGAAAGGAAATAAAATTGAAGTTAACTTGCTTGCTTTTCCTGCTGTTCAGTCAATCACCTAAATCCTAGTAAGCATATCTAAAGGGCTTTACAGTTTACAAATGTACCCTATTGGGAAACTTAGAAGGAAGAGGCATTTAAATGTTGGGCCTCTGGAACTCTGAACAATGGGAACAGGTTATGTTTAACACAATGGATTCCATAACTGACCCATTGCAAATCTGTAATGATCCAGCCAGTGAAGTAGGATGTGCTTGACCTTTCTCTGAAGTTTTCTTAATTTGATAAGTGATGCAATGTCATGCATAGGACTTATATCCACTACTGTATCAAATGAACCGGTAGCTTCTGGGTCTGTTAAAGTTAAAGGCTGAAAAACAGGAAAAATTATGCAGTGAGCAATAAATAAATATTAGTTACTTAAGTTGAAGTTGATTTTACACTTGTGATGATTAAGTTTGGAGCACAAATGTTTTTTTATTTTAAGTCCAATTGGTCTATTTTTTCTTTCTTCATTTGTACTTTTGGGATTGTTTCTAAGAAACAACTTCCTAATCCAAGGTCATAAAGATTTATAACTATATTTTAGTCTAAGAATTTTATAGGTTTTCTCTAACAGTTAGGTCTATAACAGGAGGATGAGATCCAACCCCTTTCTTTGGCATATGGATATCCAGTTTTCCCAGCATCGTTGGTTGAAAAGATTATCTATCCTTTAATTGAATTGGAAGCTCATGCTATTTTATTTACTAGGAGAAAATATTATCTCTATCTCATAATTCCATAGAAGTGTCCTTCATCTTGCTCTTCAAGAAGTCATGAAGGTGGACATGTCTGGCTTCTTCTTCCATCCCCTCACTTTTCACATGGGAGGATAGAATTCAGAATAATGGAAGAGCAGACAATGGTTACTTAAAATGACCACAGTCTCCAAATGGCAGCTTTTGAAAAAATTTTAAGGTACCATATTGTTTAGGCAATTTTATGATAAAAATGAAAACAATTTTGGTAAAGCAGTATGACAGAGAGACTGACACAGAAAGGGAAGGCTATTTCATGTTTCATAGCTTTTCATAAACACCCAAGGGATTTGGTGATACTACTTTCCTTTGAAATTTAAGAATCATGAATATGAAAAAGAGGGAAATTTTATATTGTGAAACTATGATTGTAAACATAGTCAATTTCTAAATATAATAGTGTTCTTTCTAAGTACTATTTTATACTAAATATGTAAAGAATGATCACTAGCTTAACAAAGCCATGACAATGTAAGAGTCAAAGATTATACAACTTTAGTTGAAAGGAGCTGTAGAGGTCTGAACCAGAAAGTGGGGTTTGCTTTCCTCCATCTGAAATAGAAACCAGCAAAGGGTTTCTGTTGGGGCATTGAGTGAGAGAGGCATGGAACATATTAGGTCCTCTAAAAGGATCTAGCAGAACAAATGGGGGAAATAAGACTCAGGTCCACACACAAGAAATCCTATCACCTCAGTGGAAGCTTGAGCCAGATTTTACCCACTCAGACCAACCACAAAACCAAACCACAGAGTTGCTGTTAAGTCAACCACAATGAGGAAGAAGCAAGAAACCAATGTCAATGCAATATGGGGATCAGGAAGCGGCCTCGGTGCAGACTGAGAAGTTTAGTGGTTTGACCAAAGTCTAGGAAACTTTGAGAACTAAGATCTAAAACACAGGTTTGGTACATGCAGGCCCAATCCTCTTCTCTCACACAGTGTAAATCTAAAGCATGTGCAAACACCAATAGCACAAGAATCTCTATATTCTCAGGTATCTGTTTCTCAACTTACTACAACCAGATTTCCACTTCAACCTGACCCCTGAAGTGGCTCATATTGAAGTCATTGTTGATCCCCACTGAGACAAACCAAAAGGATGCTTTTTATTTTGCATTTGCTTGATCTCACTGAAAGGCTCATCGTGTTACCACTTGAAACTCTTTCTCTTTAGCATGTGTGTTATCATTCATGTAGGAAATAGAACCTCTCTGCTGTGGTCTAAGAAACCTAATTACGAACCCACTGAAAGAGCAGAAGTGACAGTCTCCAACTGCTCACATAACACCAAATTGGCCAACCAGGGTTGCTGTTGCATCTGGAATGTCAGGAAGATTGTGGTCAAGGAATGGCCTCTGGAGCTGCTGGAAAGAATCCACTGAAGCTATGATTTTGGAATCAGGAAGTTGCTACAATTGCATCTCTGTATCCATGATGTCAGTGACTGGAAATGGGGCTGTGGCAAGCCCAACTTACCGATAAGCTTGTTTGCTAAAGTAAATTTCATATTAATGCATCTGCTTGGTAGGGCTTAATATGCATCCAGTAATCCATCTTCAGAGGAATCTAGAAATAGTTTTAGCCTTCTACCCTGGCACTAAGGAAAAGCATGCTAGAGGGAGGGGGAAGGGACATAGAGCCCTCTATGATCCCCATGGTGACTTCCTCTTATCTCAACCGCTGAGCCACCAGGGGAGGCCCAAGTATTATTTCTCTTGACCGTCTTTTCTCACTCTATCTATGCTTACATTAGGCCTCTGTGATTCTCCATTTCAACATATAGATCAGAAGACTGTCCTATGGACTCTGCTATTAACTTGTGGCTTTCTTCTACCTTCCATTCTTACTATCTTAGTATAGTTCATAATATTTTGACTCTATAAGTTCAATAATCTTATGATTGATTTCCTCACACTATACACAAACTATTTCCCCAAGAATAATTGAAAATGAACATTTCTCAACCGAGGTGAACACATCTTTTGAGGGGGGTGAATCTTTTGATGGCATAACAGGTGTTTGGACAGAAATACATTCTGTTACATGCTAGATGGTCCTATATAACTAAAAATTATCCTCTCTAAATGCCATTAGATTCAGAATTTCATGATCCACTAAATCTTTTTTAAAAATATTGGGAGCCAAAAAAAAATGGTTACCTTTTAATTTCACAAAGTCAGTATATCAATTAAAATTATAAACACATTCTGCCACTATTGTTTTACAAAAGAAGATACGTAATTCCCCCAAAACCAGAATCCTTGTACACAAACATTCTTAGCATCTTAATTCATAATAACTAAAGATAACCAAATGTCAACAACTAGTGAATATATATAAACAAGTGTGGTAAATCCATCCAAGAGAACACTACTCACTCATAGAAAGGAACAAATTACAGACAGAGACAATAACATGGATGAATTTCTAATACATTATGATGAACAGGTATACTTGTATGTAATTATGCTGACCCAGGCAGAAAACAGTGCATATTGGTGCTGCTTATGTGAATGATTCTACTTACGTGAACATTAGAAATACAAATCTACCAATAGTGAGAGAACCTGACGTTTGTTTGGGACAAACAGGGGATATTTACTTTTCAGTGGCATAGAAATTATCTTTATATTGATTGTGATAGTGGTTATATACACATTTGTTGAGATTCATCAAGGTTTACACTTAAAATGGGTACATGTTTAGTACAGAAATAACTTATAATTTAACAAATTTGATCTTTTAAAATTTAAATATAGGGGCCTCCCTGGTGACAAGGGGTTAAGACGCAAGCTATCCACAGCCACTGCAGCACGAGTTTGATCCCGGCTGGCCAGGGAGCTACCCACATGGTACAGAAGACCTCTCCTGGCTTGCCCCCTGCTCCCCTCAGCAGTGGATTTCAGTCAATCTGCTTGTTCTGTTCCCCACTCTGTCTGTGGTGTATCCTCTCAACTCCCACATCTCTGGCCTGTACCCCCATTCTTGTATGCATAAATAAATAAATCTTTAAAAAAAGTTAACATAAACAAATGTTTCTAATAATTATAATAAAAGGACACATGTTCAATAGCTTGACTCTGACTCTCTACAATAATTCCTGTCTTTGTGAGAAGAGGAAAGGAATTCTAGAATAACATGGAAATTAAAACATACTTTGGCCTGCAATAACAAAGCAGCCACAATGTCACACTTACATCTTTGTCCTGTATTGTGGATTTCACTTGCTTGTACTTTATTTTGTAGTTATCACATAACTCTTTGACTTCTTTGGTGATGGAATTGACATCAGGGAATAACTGAGAGAGATTGTAAGCTCTTTTCAGATAACATGGTTGAGAAAAATGCAAGGAAGCACAAGATAGTTTGGCATAAAAGCACTATTTGTGGCAAAAAAAATATATAACTTCAGCATCTGTGACAGAACCATGGTAATTCTAAAGGTTAACAGTTTTGTCCCTAAAACTAAAGAGCTTTTATATGTATTCATAAACATTCTGTAGTATATGTACCACTCATTCAATTTTTAAAGTTTCAAATGTTTGATCAAAATCAATCAAGCCAGCTCACTACTAAACCACATAAAATTAGAGATACTAATATTTCACTAATATCTTGCCTCTTGACAAACAAAAGGTTTAGCCTCAAATTTCTCAAGAGATTTAGCACAAGTGTTAAGTAATTATTAAGAGAAGTTATTCTGAGTTATAGTTTAAACAATGCTCTAACAACTTCAAGTTTCTTAGGAATGTTACTTAGGCTTTAATAAAAAAGTAACTTTAAATTGATTTAATTTCATTTTAGTTGAAAAGCAACATAGTGAACCCCACACCATTTTTAAGAATTATAGATAATATAAATGCAAACAATCCAATCAATTAGTACAATGAAAATTAATTCTCCAAAGCCTAGGAACCATGGCCTTAGAAGAAAGTAGGTGTTCATTTTTTCTCCCAACTCTCTTTATATTCTAAACTCTCCTCATTTCAAACTTTTAGTTATTTCTCAGTTAAGGTCCATCAACAGCCGTGGTAGGATTTTTAACTAGTCAAGATTCCAGCAATTGTTGTAGCAATTCCTGGGAAATACTAAAAGATGAGAATCTAAAGTCAACATGGGGGCCTCCCTGGTGGCGCAAGGGGTTAAGTCTCAGCACTATGAAGCAATTGGCAGCCACTGTAGCATAAGTTTGATCCTCAGCCAGGGAGCTGACCCACATGGCTCAGCAGACCTCTCCTGTCTCGCCCACTGCTCCCCTTAGCATTGTACTTCGGTCAATCTGCCTGTTCTGCTCCCCACTCTGTCTCTGGTGAATCCTCTCACCCCCCGCACCTCTGGCCTACACCCCAGCTCTTGTGTGCAAAAATAAATAAATCTTAAAAAATAAATAAATACAGTCAACATGGCTTCTGCTGTGGTCTGCCCTGAGGAAGTGGTGTTCAGAAGATTAAAGAAATTTCTGTTACCGGCTCAGGGAGGCGGGGAGGAAAAGACTTGCATTTTACAGGTGCCAGAGATAGCTTGAGGCTTTGGAGATGCCATTTGTAGACCAAGGTGATGGCAAGGAGCCCAGAAATCTTCACGGTAATAAACTTATTCACCTGGGGGCAACAGAAAGGACTGTCATGTCCTACACAGAATTCTCATGCTCATAATTCAGATGGAAATCACACACATGTCTATGATGCGTGATGGGAAATTTGGGAGCGACATTCACAGATAGCTTCTGTCTAATCCCATTAAGTCAGGAATTTTAGGTTTTGTGCTGCAAACCCGGGGGCTGCTAGAACTTACTGGGGGAACAAAGGCGTGGAGAGAAAGTATTTCTATTAATGTAGTCATGTCTCATCAAGGAAGTCAGATCATTTTAAATTGAGAAAATGCTGGGTTGATCCACAAATATCGCTGAACCCTAATTCTAGCACCGAAACAGTCTTTCCTATAAAATATGCTTGATAACATCTTATCCCCTTGATGCTGACAAAAGTCATTCATGGCTGCCAAGTGCTTAGAAGTTTTACCAGTCTCAACGTTACTATGAAACTTATTAAAACTGGAGAGATTTTATAAAGGACAAGAATTTTATAAATGCGCAAGTTCTTCAAGCTCTAATATATACATATTTGTAACATATATCTAAATGCCTTGCTGTAGATAGTGAGTCCTAATTACACCAGCTGCTCTAAGCATGGGAAGGATTTTTGTTTTGGTTACAAGTTACACTCCCCTTGTTTCCGGAAAGCTACCAGCTGAGGGAACCTGAGCTGAATAATCTATCCTATTAGTGACCCTGTTTTTCCAGATGAAGGGAGAGGGCACCCTGATTTCTGAGTACCAAGAAATTTGCCCTGCTTAGTTCCGTTTCTTTAGCTCCTCTTACTTTCCTAGCCCACCAGAGCTAAGCTGTACTTCTTTAAAAATGACTATCTTAATTGTCTGTGTGGAACATAAGACCATCACGGACGCTTTGTGAATGGCATAGAACAGAGATATGAAGGTACTCTCTACACAACAACCTGTCTAGTGGGAATACATGGTGAGTCATAAATGCAAGGCACATAAATAATTTAAAATTTTCTAGCAACCCTATTAAAAAAAAAAGGAAGGTGCAATTAATTTAAAAACATTTTATAGAAGGGAATTCTATGGGGACTACACCTGAGGGGGTGGGGGGAAGCAAATATTGTTTAAATATGAACAATAATATAAAAATTTTAAAAATTAAAAAAAATAAAAAACATTTTATAATTAAGTCTATCCAAATATTAACATTTCAACCTGTAACCAATGTAAAAATAAGCAATAAGCTATTTTATATTTTCTTATTTTGGACTAAGTCTTTGAAATCTTGTGTGTATTTTACATATATAGTATATTTCAAGGGTTCCATAACCACAGTGACTAAGTGACTGCCATACTGGACCCTGCAGTACTGTATAAATGTACCCTTGAGGATGGCTATGCAGTGTCCCACCTACACAACAATGTGCAGTGGACATAAGCTGTGTGCACACAATGAATCGAGAAAATCTACTACAGACGTTACGGACTGGAAGCTCAGAAGTGTTGGGTTTATTCTTCAGAGTTTGAAATTAGCTGCTGACTTTTGAAAATCAGGATACTTCACACAAAATCTGAATTTACTTAAAAAAATTCATAAACTAAAGCAAGCCCAGGATCAGATTCCCATGTGGCAGCAATCTTCTGACCCTGAGTAAAGGCTGCCCCCTTCAGGGGGGACACACTTCTCAGTTCACTCCAGTTTCCACCTGGCAGCCACACGCTTACAAATTATCTGAATTCCTGATCCTTGACCCTACAAAGATACAAACCGACCTATTAAATGACAAATTTTCTGCAGAATGAGAATGAGGAGGAGACTTTCACTTTGGACATGGTATACTTTCTTATTTAAAAAATATATCTTGGTAAGCATAAAGTGCTTTCCTAATGATAATTTTTAAACGTACTTTAAATAGTAACTTGCTGCTTAACAAAGACACAGTCATCAAAAGCAACCAAGTTTATATCGATGAAGAACTGAAGTAATTCAATCCTCTCAATATTTTTTTCCCTTGATAAGCCATTTTAGAAACTGAAAGTAAATTTGTTATAAGAAATGATCGTAAGAATAATAGATTATAAAATAATACCCAAATTTCAACTGGATCATTAAGCTTTCCCTTTGAAGGCCACATCCATTCCTTTACGACGTCTCCTTTTTTGCTGAACACAATGCCTCCATCCCGATTAAACATCATTGATATTTGGCTACAAAAAAAAAAAAAAAAAAAAAAACACCCAGAAACATGACTTAATTATTTTTTTTAAAGATTTATTTATTTACGCATACAAGAGCTAGGGCATAGGCCACAAATGCAGGGGGTGAGAGGATTCACCAGAGACAGAGTAGGGAACAGAACAGGCAGAGTGACTGAAATACACTGCTGAGGGGAGCAGTGGGCGAGTCAGGAGAGGTCTGTTTTGCCATATGGGTTTCTCCCTGGCTGGGGACTGAATTCATGCTGCAGAGGTTGCAGATTGCTTCATAGTGCGGTGCTTAACCCCTTGCACCACTAGGGAGGTCAAACATGACTTAATTAGAACAAGAAAATTTCTTGAATTCATTGATTTGGCTGAGGGCATGGAAATCACTAGGTCAGTCCTTAAAATTCAGGACTTCTTCCTCTCACATTCCTAGCCGACCATTCTCAAAGGGTTGGCAAAATCTGCTCAGCTGATCAAGATGTCCTTTTTCTGGGATATATCCCCTCTCACTACACCATATACAGAGTCACAGCCATGTGCCCTGTCTTGGCCATTGCTCACTCAGGGCTGAACATTTAAGCCAGGAATGTGTTCCAAATGGATGCAGTAATATGTATAAAAGGCCATGGAGGAAAGAGATGGGCATAGTTCATTCAGGGTCTGAGAGGAAGCCAACAGGGCTAAGTGTTGCAAATAATTCATCATACATCATGAATTTTAAGAATGAAAAGTCACAGAAAGCTTTAATAACCAGACAAGGAAGTAACATGATCAAGTGAATTGTAGGGAACCAAAGTGAACGCTAGCGACCAGCTAAGGGGGCCAGTAGTGGTCCAGGAGAGAAGATGGCATGTAGGACCAGGGCAGGGATGAGAAAGATGAAGACACGTGTAGATTCAAGAACCATGTAGATTTAGACAGAAGGAATTTGAGTGGTGACGAACAGGAAGGCATCCATTTAATCTTCCCTATACTTTATATGTCTATTAATGCAGCATAACATTTTATTAGCTTTTCTGAATCAGTAGCATCACTATGTGTTCATGCTAAAATACCTTTGTGTTTTCTCTCAGCACAGCACCTGGCACAGAGAAGGGGCTTAATGAAAGTCTGAATTGAATTGACAAAATGGATTCAATTACAGATAAATAATTATTACAGTCAAGTCACTGTTAGAGTACCATCAGGGATGGTACTAGGGATGCTTCTAGGGATGCCCAAAGTGAGGATTCTATACACCTAGGACATTTTTGGTATTGTGATAATAATTATTTTGATAATGTTTATTAGAAGTGTACTATGTGGGCCTCCCTGGTGGTGCAGCGGTTGAGCGCTGGGTTGCGAAGCTGCCTGCAGCCTCTGCAGTGCCAGTTCATTCCCCAGCCTCCTGGCGAGGGTCCCACATGGCGCGCAGACCTCTCCTGCCGCCCGCTGCTCCCCTCAGCAGTGTACTTCGGTCCTTCTGCCTGCTCTGCTCCCTGCTCTGGCTCTGGTGAATTCTCTCACCCTCCCGTGATTCTGACTGTACCCAGTACATGTATAAGCAAAACAAACAAACAAACAAATAAATAAACATGCCTCTATTTAAATAAATAAATAAATAAATAAATAAATAAATAAATAAATAAATAAATAAAGAGAAGTGTACTATGTGCTAAGCCTTAAATACATGCTTTTAACAGACAGGGTGGCTCAATGGTGCAAACACTGCTTTGCCAGTTAATTGTATTGACCCAAGCCCTTCCACTTTCTCATTGTGTGAAGTTGGACACATTTTTTACCCTTCCAGTGGCTCAGTTTCCTGACAAAAGTGTCTACCTCACAGAGCTTGCGAGGACTAGGTTAGATAACACATACAGCCCACATTGAGCAGAGTCGGGCAACTTGTAAGTTCTCTGAAAGTGTTGGCTTTTACTATTAAGCCCCTTTATTGCTCTTTTTTACCTAACAATTTTATTGAAATATAACTCACATCATGCTACTCACTATTTAAAATGTATAATTCAGGGATCTCCAGTATATTTACAAAATTGTGCAATGATCAACCACAGTCAATTTTAGAACATTTTCATCACCTCACAAAGAAACCACATGCCTCTAAGCAGTGACTCCCCTAAGCTGCCAGGCAACCACTTGTCCACTTTTTGTCTATATAGAATTGCCTATTTTCGACATTTCATGTAAGTGCAATCTTACAATATGTGGTCTTTTAAGACTGGATTTTTCACTTAGCATAATGTAGTCAAGGTTAATCTATATTGTAATATGTATCAGTATTTCTTTTTTTTTAATACTTTGTTTTTTTTTTTATAGAGGCATGTTTTATTTATTTATTTATTTGTTTGTTTGTTTTGTTTATACATGCACTGGGTACAGTCAGAAGCGCGGGAGGGTGAGAGAATTCACCAGAGCCAGAGCGGGGAGCAGAGCAGGCAGAAGGACCGAAGTACACTGCTGAGGGGAGCAGCGGGCGGCAGGAGAGGTCTGCGCGCCATGCGGGACCCTCCTCCAGTGGCCGGGGAGCAGCCAGGGATCGAACCGTCGCTGCAGAGGCTGCGGGCAGCTTCGCAACCCAGCGCTCAACTGCTGCGCCACCGGGGAGGCCCATGTATCAGTATTTCATTTAGATTTATGACTGAATAATGGTGCATTATATGGCATACCAAATTGTATTTGTTGGTTATCAATTATCTATCCGCTGAGCTCTCTTTTTGAGGATATGTTGATAGTATTGCGGTGGAATGATCCAAGAGCTTCACAAATGGGGACTCTTTAGTTCAGGTTTCAGGACAAGAAGTACTTTTTTTCACTAGGAATTTAAAATATTTGTCACAAAGAGAAAAGAGATAAAAGTAAGCAAACACATATGGATGTGAATGTAAACGCCATGGTATCTTAAAGAACAAACAAAATATTTTTTGCTCTAGCTACTTGTGCAGAAAAGAGGTGAAAGGAAGCGAAAATTTAAATTTCCATGCAATGCAATTGTAATTATACTTGTAAAAGATGAAATTTCTTCCAATACAAAAATTTTGCCATGTGTATAAAATTGCTTAAAAAAATCATCACCCCCACATTATCATTATTATTATTACTACTACTGTAATTGTTATTACTCATGTAATGTGTACTCAGCTCTAGACCTCCCTCAGCATGTTAAAGTTTGGAAAAAGTGGGGGAAGAAGCATTAGCATTAGTTCTGAAAACTGACTTTAGTATTTTTCTCTACCATGGAAAAGGTATCCATCTTCTTTAGAGCTTCGTTTGCCCTAGCTGGGAAACCTACCTAATAATAGGGTTCCTAAGAAAATGAAATAACGGGGCCTCCCTGGTGGCGCAAGGGGTTAAGCACAGCACTGTGAGGCTGTCCACAGCCTCTGCAGCACAAGTTCAATCTCCAGCGGCCAAGATGCTGCCCCACATGGCGCAGCAGACCTCTCCTGGCTCCCCACTGCTCCCCTCAGCAGTGTATTTCGGTCAGTCTGCCTGTTCTGCTCCCCACTCTGTCTCTGGTGAATCCTCTTACCTCTGGCTTGTACCCCAGTTCTTGCATGCATAATAAATAAATAAATCTTTTTAAAAAAAAAAAGAACATGAAAAAGTGATATCTCTACTTAAAATGATACATCTTAGCAACTAATAAAGGTGAGATGTTTTAATCAAGCTCACCAGAAAAACAGTCTCCCAAGAACCTAACTTGGACAATCCCTGGAAAAATCAAGTAGCAATACATTTGTTCTTCATGAAAGCAATTATTTTCCACCTTGTCTGTCCTGTCACAAAATAAGACGTTCAATTAAAATGCCATAAAATTATATAGTGTTTCCTAATCTTTCTCTCGAAACTGTTGAGCTACAGTTGGGTTGGGAGAGGAAGACTTTTTTAAAGTATGTGCTTTCTCAACCTTTCAAATGCTTCCCGATTCTGTCATCTTCTTTTCATCTCAACATCAAAGTTGGGAAAGGTTCTTCCCCACGGAGAGAGGGCAAGTGTCCACATGCCCCTCACCAGGCACTCTGCGGCCCCATTAATCTCGCTCTCTCTTTGCATCTTGAGACGCAAGCATTAGTCTTTTATTTCTTTTAGTTTTTTGCTGACCTTACTCTCTTTGCTGGTAGGCTGCTGACACATTTCAACAGGTGATCTGGCTCATAAAAGCAGCCAGGGGAGGGAAACAGTGAGAAGGGGGTTCACCAAAAACATGGCCAGCACATACCAAATGCTGAATGTAGTAGAAACACACAAACACCTATTTAAGACCTAGTTTAAAAAAAAGGTGGGGATGTCCTCTTGCTCTCTGGATGATCTAACTTTCAACTCTCATTACCTTGAAATCAAGAAAAGTCAAAATATAGGGGTGAGCAAGTATGTGACTGGGGCTTCTTCAAAAATTCAAATGCAGCAAATCTGGAGGGGGAGTGTGCTGTACAGTGCCTGATAGATAAGCGACAATGTCAATCTCTACACAAAACACCAAGGTTCAGAAAATGTTTTTCTAAACCCACATTTCATGTTTTTTTATGCGTTGTTATTAAGATATTCGAGTTGCCTTTTGTCAATATGTTCCGTCGAGATAGGGTGCTTTTGGGCCTCTCCAGTGGCACAGCGGGTTGAATGCACTGTTGTGAAGCTGTCAGCACCCTCTGCAGCACGGGTTTGATTCCCGGCTGACCAGGGAGATACCCACACGGCATGGTAGACCTCTCCTGTCTTGCCTGCTGCTCCCCTTAGCAGTGTTTTCAGTCGCTCTGCCTGTTCTACTCCCTGCTCCGTCTCCGGTGAATTTTTCCCCCTTCTGCACCTCTGGCCTGTACCCCAGTTCTTGTATAAATAAATAAATAAATAAATCTTTAAAAAAAATTAAGACTGAGAGATTAAAAAAAAATAGACAGGGTGCTTTAAGTTGAAATTGACCACATGGAAAAAAAGGAAGGGATACCTGGATAAGGTATATCCCAAAGAAGGGTAAATGTGGGGGAAGAGTTATAAAGATGCAGAATGTCCCCCCCAAAATTCGTGCCCACTCTAAAAATCAGCATGTGACTTGATTTGGAAATAGGGTCTTTGCAGATACAATCGGTTCAGGGTCTCAGGATAACAGGGACTGTCTTGTTCTCTGTTAAGTCCCTTGGGCCTAAATGGTGCTTACTTAGGAGGCCCACCACAAATATTTGTTGAATCAGTGAGTATAAATATTTCCCACAGATGCCTTTTTGTTTCAACTTTGTGCATTTATTTCCCTTTTTCAATATTTTCTTCCAGCTTCCCTGTAACACATCTCTTGACAAACAGGAGCCATAGCTTATATTACTCTCTATTCTGAGTGACTGATGCCCAACAGGTACTCACTGCTGAGGAAGGGAGCACTGAGTGCTAAAGAAAGGGAAGAAGAAATATGTGAGTGAATGAATAAAGGAGACATGCCATAGCAACGATGTGGCAGAGGCAGAAAAGTAATCCCATCCCTCTTCCTTGCCCTCCTACTCCTTACCCTCAGGATGACTCATCCAAATAGTTAGCTAAGTGCTCGGGTAAGCAAAAGTTAGCTGACTGGGATATCTAGCCGTACAGAGCTGAGTTTCTCTTCCATGGAAAAGTAGAGACATCTGGGGAATGGGGAATGAAAGAAGAATTTCCTAAGTCAGAAAGGAAGAGGGAAAAATCTGACACAGGAGAGGAAAACAGGAATGTTGGGCAACATGTAGGATGGATGAAGCACTTTTAAGAACATGTTAGTACATTTTGTACTTTATTGTTTTATTACTGTGCTATAAACTCCCCGTGACCCAAATCACCAAGGATTTTGGTTATCTTCACAGAGGTCTCGGGTGAGTAGTTTTCATATATGAACATTAAGGAGAGGAGCAAATTCCCCAAAGGACTCAAATCACAAAGTCAAAACACACGCATAGATACATGTCAGAGCATGGAGAACACAATTAAAGGAGGCGGGATATAAGAGCCAGTGAAGATCATGGCCCTAAGAGCTTTGTACACATTTTGAAGAGAATATGAGACTTTTCATGGGGTGCTGAGTGGGGGTCCTGCCAGTGTTATCTAGTGCTCAAGGTGGCAGGGAGGCCCAGCTGACACCTTACTCACTAAATACCAGTCTTCCTATATCAGACAGGTTGAGACCTGTCTGTTCACGGGGCTTTGCCCTTGTATATATCCTTCTGTTCCAAAAAGCCAGAGCATCAGCTCGCCGATGGCTCTACTGGCTTCTTGGATCATGGTCTTTTGAACTGTTCTAATTTGCAAGTCTGTACATGGGACGGTCTTAAGCACAGGTATATATTTCATTTTCCTTCCCTGCGTTCTCAATTAGATTGACCATTTTAAAGATTGCTTACCATGTCTCCCTTTGTTGGGATTTGGCCCATTTCCTATTCTTAGCTTTCTCACAAGTTCTAATTAGTCTGAAATCTCACTTGCCTTTTAGGAAAAGAAATGCTACCACATCCAAAAGGTGTGAAGGTTCCAAGGATAACTGGCTTTTCGAAGTCACTGAATATATTGGTGTACATGCCACCCCAAGGAAGGGCAGAATAACTTTGGCAGACAGCTAAACGGCCAGAAGGATAGATAAAATCCACGTTAAGGAACTGATATGGAGTCAAACAACAATATTACTAGTAATAAGTCTTCTATAAAATGATTCAACTCTTAGCCTATTTAATTTTTTAAATCAACTATTACAGATAAGCCAATGGAAGAGCAGAGACTTCCATAGTCACCAAGCACAAGAATGATAGTGTGAGGTCAGCAAATGGCTTTCCTGGCTACACATCCTTCCCCTGTGTTTACTGCACGCTCATTTTAGCCCCCAAATTCTTTGAAACCTTTCTTGTGAATAAGAACAGGGAAATCTGGTCAAACTGGTCCTGTTAATGGTAGAGTTGCTGGAAACCAGAGTTGCCCGGTTGCTGCCCAGTGTTGCCTAACGAGGTCATTCCAGCAGACAACGGGAGGATGGGTCTCCTTGCCAATGATGACGGCTAGATGGGCACAGGAGGACGGAGGGATAAGTATGGAAATGTGAACAATATTACAAAAGCTAGCTCTACCAACCTCTACAAAACTATGATGGACACAAAGTTGTTCTTTGGATTTGTAAGAACTTATAAAATCTTTCTTCTCTAAGCTAGATTCTCTAGATACTAAATCCCCATGTGGTTCTCTCTACTAATCAGGAAAATGAATCAAAAAAAACTTATTTTCTCAGAACCACATGAGACCTTAGGTGCTTATCAAAAATATCAGCTACCATCAGAAATCCCCTTAAGCAGAAGTAAGGCTTGTAAAATAGAGAACTTTCCCCAAGCTCCTTCTCAGGTTGACTTCTCCAACCCCCAGCACAAAGGAATGTGGACCCTCAGGAGAAATGGACTGAATACACACAAAGCATCAGACCTCCTTTGCCAACAATTCTGGGATTTTCTGCTAAGAATGTGGAGAGACCCCACATTCTCTACCTGTCATGTGCCCTACCTATCAGCCCCTTCCATCATTCCTGGCCTCTTCCATCTTTCTTATCCTGGAATTTCACAAGGATACTAGGTCAGAGAGGAACCATCTACCAGGGAGTAATGGAACTTTTTCTCTGCTGGGTCAACTTCTTTGATTGTTGGTAGCTGAGGCTTCCTCTTCAGCAACTCCAGCCAGAAACAAGGAGTAGCAGGGCTATTACTGCCCACCTTCATCGTATCTTCAAAATCATTATAGTGGTGCAGGATAAGTGGCTTGTTGAACCCCTTTTTTTTCAGCTTAGCTTCTTCCTTTTTTCTGTTCAAAAGAAAAAAAATTCAAGAGTTAGCTAATTTCTTGGTCTTATCAAAGACCAAGGGCTGTTCAGTCATTTTTGGCCGCCTCTTTACTGATCTACTAAGCTTTCTTTACATTCTGAGAGTTGAATTTTAAGATCCTTAGCCATTTATTGAGTGCCTACCATTTTAAAAGTTATTCAGCACCTACTGTATGAAGCACTGTACCAGTGGCTGCAGCAACAGCAAGACTAGTACATAGCTCCTATTCCCACAGGAGTAGCATCACCCAGCACAGGTTTTGGACAAGAACTGAGATGACTTCTGGTGCTGCCACCTGGGGCTGTAGAAAGTAGGTAAAGTACCAAGTTCCTCTGAGCCTTGGTTTCTTCATCTGTAAAATGGGATAACAATACCTCGCAGAAATGTAGGCAATCACTAGTTAATTCATGCACAAAGACTTCTGGGCACAGAAGCCAGTACTTAGCATGCCCTCTATAAACACTAGGTATTTTTGTTATAACTTAGTGGGGAACATAGATAAACATGTTTGCCAATAATAAAATTTCAAGATGATAGGACAGATGAATATGAAACCATCTAGCTTCTAGACTTAAGACACCTTGAAATTAAGGTAGTCTCTTAGCATATTCATTTAATCATTCAAAAATATTCCCAAAGTCAAAACTCATATTCTTATGAATAAGATGCCATCTACCCCCATTCTTTTTTTTTCTTTTCTTTTTTTTTAAGAGGAATCCCTTCTTTTTTTTTTTTTTAAGATTTATTTATTTATTTATACAAGCACTGGGTACAGTCAGAAGGGCAGAGGGTGAGAGAATTCACCAGAGCCAGAGCAGGGAGCAGGGCAGGCAGAAGGACTGAAGTACACTGCTGAGGGGAGCAGCGGGCGGCAGGAGAGGTCTGTGCGCCATGTGGGACACTCACCCGGCGGCCGGGGAGCAGCCAGGGATCGAACAGGTGCTGCAGAGGCTGCGGGCAGCTTCGCAACCCACCGCTCAACCGCTACGCCACAAGGGAGGCCCTATCTACCCCCATTCTAAAGCTAGTGCCTGGACTTTTGCAGCTACCTGGTAAAATCAGCATTCAATGCCATAGATATCAACTATAAATTCTCTACTTTCTCCACCATCTCCCTATATTCTCAGCATTGGGTATGACAGGAGTTGTATCTGTGGTGTAAAATACAGACCCTCTAGAGATCACTGAGGAATAGTCATGAAGCAGATCTTCCAAGTTCTTGCTCAGCTTTCCTCTCCCAACATATACACACACATGCTCACATGTAGACACATGCATGTGCACATACACTCATGAGCTCAAGCATGCCTAGTAGTAACTGTTGGCAGCACATCATGTACTAAAAGAGATCATCTTTGCTCTCATGGAGACCAATGGTGCCTGTTTATAGGCTGATGTCTTGGCTTGTCTACGCAATCGCCTCAGCTCAAGTGGGCTGCTGGGCTTCTCAGTTGTTAAGACAGAATGTGGGAATGAAATCAGGCAGATCTATAATCAGTAATTGAGGATCAGGACTTTGATTAGGGCAAGTGATAACCACCTTCTCAGAGAAGAGTCAGTAGTCGAGACTTTCCCAAAAGGGGCATAGAGTGGGACTCAAAACCAACAATTCTCAGCAACAGTGTGAGAGACTATCTAAGACTGCCCTCAGCAAGTCCCTTCAGATTCAGAAAAGATTCTAACAGGGATCTCAATGTTAAGATGCACTTAAAAATTCCTAAAACTGAGTTGGCCTATGTCAAAGAGGGATCTTGGAATATTTGCAGTATGTGAGTGCATCCTCATGTAAAATGGGGAGCCTACCTGAATCTACTTACAGAGTAGTTGAAAGCATTAAATGAAACAGCATTTATTGGCTGGGGGTAGGATATTCAGGTGTGGGAAGAACTATACTAAAAAGAAAAAAAATTCAAGATTAAACCTAAGTAATCAGAAACAACAGATCCAACTATTAAAAGAAAAGGCATAATAGCCCCACCATCACTAGAGTAGGGGATACAAGGGATGGGAGTCCCTAGCAATGTCAAGGGTCACTGGTCCATCTTAGTGAAGAGGAGTGGGGGTTTCTCAATGAGTGCTCTGGAGGAGGAACCAGCTGCAGGAGGGTAGCAAGGGCCAAATCTACCACTTGGCAACTGGATAATGAAATACTTGATTAAAATAACTGCTTTCTTTCTTCTCTTTGTTTCTTTTCTTGCTTCCCTCTTCTTGCTGCTCCTTCCTTCCTTTCTCATATTCTCATGAAAATGTATCCCACTGTCAAAAATTGGGTGAGTGGGTAGAATTTTTGAACAATGTGACAAAAGCAAAACACTTAAAGATTGCTGTTCTTCCCCACACCAGAACACATGTGCGCCACTCCATTTAAAAGCATTAAAGGCTGCCAGACTGTCCGCTTCACAACACATTTATAAACCCAACTGGGAACCTAAGTAATTACCACTCTCCAAGCCCACACCTTCTCCCTTTTATTCAATGCTCAGACATGCATCTATTTTTCTGTGACTTTACACAAAAGGACCTTTTGGATTATTTTTTAAAAGGAAGGTAAGTACACCACTGAAGTGTAAATATCTGTAATCATTTGGAGAAAAAAGCCACCCTCTCCTTCGTTACCAATAAGACCAAAAAAAAATTTTAAAACTCCAATGCAAAACCTTTTATATTACACAAGTGCCACATCACTCAAATAATCAGTAGGGAGCTGTAATTCTGGAAAGTTCCCTACTACCTTTTCAAAAACAGTGCTTCTTTTTCTAACCCCTGAACAGGCCCCTAGACAGTCTTTTGTCATTATGTAAAGACCTATCAGCACCTTATGCCTCCAAAGACTGCCTCTATAAGCAGTGGTAGTGGTCTTGCTCTCTGCTCTTGCCTAAGGGCCAAATGTTGACCTCTGACTTTTCCAGTAGGTGATAATTATCACCAAGTTGATTAGCCCAACAAAGGAACCCTAATATGTTTCAAATGGCTGAACATGGTCAAGACTTAAGGAACAATCTTCTAAGTCAGAAGTTACCCAATTGCCTCAGTCCTCTGGTAACATAAAGGGAACTATATCTCAATCATCTCAAGTCAAAATTGGCCTAGGAATCTAATAATAAATTAAATTTAATATGGTGGGGGCACTCACTGAATATGAGAACTGAGCGATGCTTGAAGCATATCTAATCCTATTTTACAGATACAGAAAAGGGGATACAAAATTGCTAACTAATGGTTACTGTCTATTACTCATTACTATATTCTGCAGATTGTGCCATTATTTAGCAGCATTATTTCATTGAATGCTATCAGCAACTTTATGAGGCAGATTCTAGTAGGATGCCCATTTTATATGAGGAAAATAAGGCTTTGAGAAGTAGAGTAATTGCTTCAAATGCCAATGTGGGCAAGGGAGATGCATGAGGGGCATGTGGACGCCAAAGCTTGGGCTCTAAACGTTTCACACAACCTAGACCCTTGAACACTGCTCAGGAGCTGCAGAGTCAGGGTTGGCAGCAAGCCTAGGATGGCCAGACTACTTTCATACCACCAAGCTCTACCAGTGAACATGAGTTAACTCAGAGTACCCTAGTTCACCAACTACAAGTCAGAAATTCAGGCCCAGACAAAAGGTCAGGGAGAGAGACCCTTTCTAGAGAATGTACTTGGCTTCAAAGAGTATTTTGGGGTGCTCTGGGATGGGAGGTTTCATTACGTTTGTCAGATCCGACTTCCTGGGATAAATCCAGAGTCCATACCTGCCATTCAGATTAGAGAAGAATGTTTTTCACTGTCCTTCATTTCCTTGAATGTGACATGATATTAAAACTTCTATAATGTACTGTTAAACGAATGTGATAGAAATTTGTTTGAGTAAAAAAAGTGAGAGTTCTGATTCGCTTAAAATTTCATTTTATCCAGCAAACATACATTTCAACTCCATGCTATCTCTAACCCCAGTGACCAGAGGATGCTAAGATTTGGCTGCTTTTCTTTAAAATGTTTTATAATGCACATACGGTAAAATGACATGTCTGGGTTCTGGATATATGACAGATCACTTGGAAACAAATTCTACCAAGGTTAGCAGTTCTCATTGTTAAAAAAAAAAAAAAAAAAAAAAACCACTCTTGACAATTTATTTCGATGGGTCATGCATAATAGCATCTTACTCATCCCTGTTGCTGGGTGTCGGCTAAATTCTCCTCCTCTATCTACTCTGCCAAGACATTTCTTCTTGGTTCTAAACTTATTTGTTTCTAGAAATCACTTTTAATGATATTGGATTGTTATTTAAAATGAGTTTTACTTGCTTTGTGCTTTAGTGTCTACAAAGCATATTTATATATTTTACATCACAACAATTTGCTGCAGTAAATAGAAAACATGTTATTATCCATAAGTGGCTGTAGAAACAGAGGCTCAGGGACTTACACAAGATCCTCCAACTACTGACTAATGAACCAGAGTGATAGGACTCAAATTTGGGTTTTCTTTGTTCAATATTACTTAGACTTAATTTTATTTTTTAATCTTCTATTTCCTATCCCAGACAACATATTTCAGAATGGAAGGCAACATACTGTATTTATTTAACCTAGAATAGTGATTTAAAATAGCATCTCCAGCTAAAAAAGTGTGCCAGACAACTATTGGGTACTTATCCAACAGCCACTTCACTTCTTCCTTATTCTTTTTCAAAAATTTATTTCTTTATTTATCTATTGGCTTGACATTCTAAAAAAAGCATTTTTTACAATGAGGTAGATTTCTTTATTTTTTTTAGAGCTGCTTTAGGTTCATAGCAAAATTAAACAGAGAGTAGATAGAGTTCTCAGACACTCCCCACAAATTTGGTTTTCTTTCCATTAAAATATGGTTCCTGTTCCATATCATTTTGAGGCCTTTTTAAACTTAAGAAATGAATTCTAATTTCTGCTGTAAGAATAAATTATAGTAACTGACTAATGGGCTTCCTTGGTGGCACAATGGGTTAAGACACAACATATGAAGAAGTCCGCAGCCACTGCAGCACGAGTTCGACCCCCTGACCAGCCAAGGAACAGCACACACAGCACAGCAGAACTCTCCTGACTCGCCCACTGCTCCCCTCAGCAGTGTACTTCGGTCGGTCTGCCTGTTCTGTTCCCCACTGTGTCTCTGGTGAATCCTCTCACCCCCACACCTCTGGCCTGTGCCCTGGTTCTTGTATGCATAGATAAATAAATCTTTAAGAAAAAAAAAGAAACTGACTAATGTTTTAATGTAGAAAGAGTACCCAGGGAATATTTGCTATACCAGATATTAAAATAGTAATAACATCCATCCAGTGCTAGGAATCTTTACAACACTAAAATGTAGCTACTATAATTATCCCCATTTTACAGATGAGGAAAGTGAGGCAAAGGGGTAGTAAGTGAATTTCCCAAAGTGACATGAATGGATGGAGCTGGGATTTTAGCTCAATTAACTGGGCTTCAAGGTCTCTTTCTTAACACCATACTCTGGCTCTCTCATATAATATGAATAATTAAAATAGCTTAAAACTAAAGGTATGATCAGTTTAAGAATCCAAATCAGGGGATAACAGAGAACGTACTCAATAAATGACTTCAGAGAGATAATAGAATGTTGTGGTTAAATAAATGCACAGGCTTTGGTAAAGACAGACGTAAGCTTATGTAGCAGCTCACCTACTTAATAGCTCTCTGATCTCAACAGCAGCAACTTACTCATGGACGCATGTCAATTGCTTCATGTAGTGCTTCATATAAAACAAGTGCCCAATAAACATTAGTGATCATTGTTAACACTCAATAAATACTTGCTATGATTATTACTGACATGGAAGAAAAAAAGCTATAAGATCATCATCTCCCATCAATACACAACAAAATTCCAGCTAAATGTAGAAAAGAAAAGAAATAAAAATAGAGTAGGTATGTCTAAACTCTAAATGAGGAAAGTTTTTCCAGTTATAAAAACAATGGGGGAAAAAACTGAAAACATTGGTTATTGTATGATAATAAACGTTAAAACACCTATATCTTAATCATAAAGTTAAAAATCAAACAATGAGCTAGAGAAATAAATATTGCCACAAATAAAAAAATTAATATCCTTAATAGATTAAAAAAACTTAAGTGAACAGATAAGAAAAGATAGTAAAAACCACTGAGATTAAAAGATGCACAGATTAGGAAAATCCAGTTCAGAGAATTTTTAACATGAAGAAATTAAAAAGGTAAATCTTTCTAGTTAGCAAAGAAATATATAGTTAATATATTTTGTCCATCAATTTAGCAAAGTTGAGTACTCTTAATAACTATATTCAATGCTGTGTTGCTGAGATGGGTCCCCACACATTGCTGTGAAGCTGGCATGGTTTTCTTGGAAAACATGGGAAGGAATCAAAGAAATGCCAAGTGTTTATAGAAGAGTTGAGCAAACGCAAATGCTCAATAATAGGAGAATGATTAAAAAAACTGAGTTAAATCGTTTCTTAAGACTTTAACAGCATGGGAAAATGCTCGTGCTTGAGTGAAAGGAAAAAGGCAAGGTAAAATCACCATTCAAAAGACAATATCTATTTGTTTGTTTGTTTGTTTGTTTTGAAGATTTTATTTTTATTCATACAAGAGCTGGGGTTCAAGCCAGAGTTGTGGGAGGGTGAGAGGATTCCCCAGACAGAGCGGGGAGCAGAGCAGGCAGATGAACCAAAAGCACTGCTGAGGGGAGCAGTGGGCGAGACAGGAGAGGTCTGCTGTGCCATGTGGGATTCTCCCTGGCCGGCCAGGAATAGAACTGGCGCTGTGGAGGCTGTGGACAGCTTCACAGCACTGCACTCAACCCGCTGCGCCACCGGGGAGGCCCAGATAACATATATTTGTAAAGGCAATATACACACATATAAACTACATAGTGTAAAATACATATTTACTACAAGTATGTGTGCATGTATTAGGAAAAAAAAACTGCAAGGAAATATGCCCAAATGTTTTAAAAGGGTGATTTTTTAGGGAAAAGGTTATGTGATTTCAATTTTTTCTTACACTTTTCTAAATAAAAAAAATTTCAAAACAGAGACTGTATTACATCTAAAATACACTTCACTGAGGCCAGGTGAGCAAATGGAACAGAAATAAAGCATGATAGAAAGTGAACCAACCAGTCAGGTGGTGCTATGTTTCACCCCTGGCTTTGCTGCTGTCTTGCTGAGTAACTATGAACAAATTGCTACACTTAGTGACACACTGACTTTACCATCAATAAATTGGAGTTGAGGGGGGCCTCCCTGGTGGTGCAGGGGTTAAAGACACAGTGCTATCAAGCAATTTCCAGTCGCTGCAACATGAGTTGGATCCTCACCAAGGAGATAACCCACATGGCACAGCAGACCTCTCCTGTCTCGCCTGCTGCTCCCCTCAGAAATGTATTTCAGTCAATCTCCTGTTCTGCTCCCCACTCTGTCTCTGGTGAATCCTCTCACCCCCTCTCCCATACCTCTGGCCTATACCCCAGTTCTTGTATGCATAAATAAATATTTAAAAAAATTGGAATTGAGAATTGTACCTCTCTCATGGGTGGTTGTAAGGAGTATAGATAACACATGTAAAGCCCCAGGTCCACTGTATAGCACTGTTATAGAGCAGATATTTCATCATTACTTGTTATCATTATTATTACCTCCTCCTAATGGTTTGATTTCGCCTTTGTTGATTGTTATCTTCTGAGATATTCAGTTTCCCATTTTATTAATTAATTATTTATTTATACAAGTGCCGGGTATAGTCAGAAGTGGGAGAGGGTGAGAGAATTCACCAGAGCCAGAGGGGAGAGCAGAGTAGGCAGACTGATGAAGTACACTGCTGAGGGGAGCAGCGGGCGGCAGGAGAGGTCTGCGCGCCATGTGGGACCCTCGCCCGGGCGGCCAGGGATCAAACCGGCACTGCAGAGGCTGCGGGCTGCTTCATAACCCAGCACTCAACTGCTGCGCTACCGGGGAGCCCTCAATTTCCCATTTTAGATGACAAGTTCTTTGAATACAGGGCCTGGTTTTACGTTTCCTTAAACAATGCTAAATGAAATAAGTCAGAAGGAGAAAGACAACGAAACTAGAAAGACAAAGAAATGGTGGCTTTTCTTTGCCTAAGGTCTTTTCTTTCCACCTCTTCCCCACTATTTCAAATATGATCCTGGACTGGTTATCTGACAAAGCTGAGTGACAGGTAAGTCATATATCATATAGTGACTCTTGCATGAGTTACCAGGAGAGAAGAGTTAGTGTATGTATTTTTCACATTACAGATACCATAGGCAAATGATAGGGTAACTTGTCCAAGATACCATAGGCTCTGCTTTTTGCTATGGGTAAAAAGCATGCTTGCTTATGCTTCTTGCCTATCTACCTTATCATACGCCTCATAAAAGTACATGACTCCAGGGCCTCCCTGGTGGTGCAAGGCGTTAAGCACAGCTCTATGAAGCAATCCCAAGCCTCTGCAGCACGAGTTCGAGTTTGATCCTGGCCAGCCAGAGAACTACCCATATGGCATAGCAGACCTTTCCTGTCTTGCCTGCTGCTCCCCTCAGCAGTGTATTTCAGTCAGTCTGCCTGTTCTGTTCTCTACTCTGTCTCTGGTGAATCCTCTAACCTTCCTCCCCCCGCACCTCTGACCTGTACCCCAGCTCTTGTATGCACAAATAAATGAACCTTAAAAAAAAAAAAAGTACATGACTCCAAAGACTGCAGAGGGCTCCCTACATTTGAATTATGGCCACTTGTAGTCTCTTCACAGCAACATCGAAGACTGTCTTCCATTTCAGAATTTCTGATGGTGAGTAGGGATGTTGAAAGATCCAACCTTTAAAAAAAGACACACATTAACAGAAAAGAGAGATTTCAAAATTTATACCGAATCAATACTCACTGGGTAAACCTTGTCCAGGCAAGCCTCCCAAAGCTTAGTTGAAAAAGGAAGCAAAATCCATTCATATCCAAGTATAACTAATTATCAGCTTAAAAATTACCTCTCCTTGAGGATTATGCTAAATGAAATAAGTCAGAAGGAGAAAGACAAATACCAGATGATTTTACTCATTTGTGGGATATAGAGAAAAAGAATGAGGAACTCACAAAACTACATCCAAACAAACCCTAGAGATATGACTGCAGGATTGAGGCTACCAGGTGGGTGGCTGGGGTGCCCAGTGGTCTCTGTTAAAGGTCTATGGGAGCTCTGATGGTGGGTGTGGTGTGGTGACATTCATCTGAGGTATTCTGAACCTGTTCTAGGTCACATACTGTGTTGTAAACCAGTATTTCTTCAATTAAAAAAAAGAAAAGGGGAAAAAAACCTCTCCTCAAGATTAGCATTAAAACAGATCATAGTTGTAATTCCAAGCAATTAAGCCCCTATCGTGACATCTGTAGTATTAGTGGCCTTTCAAGAATCCATCTATATAACCTGGGGGCTTGCACATCAGATTTTTCAGCATCCCCCAGTCGAAGGACAGAATTCTGTCTCCCAGAGAGAACATTTTATCAGAAATTCTTGGATCCCAATCCTGACTCTCTCACTAACCAGAGTCTGGGTACTGGACATGTCTGGATTTCAGATTTCTCATCTCTAAAATGAAAGAACTGAATGAGATGATCTCTAAGTCCTCTCAGCTTTAACATTTTTCTCTTATAAAAATTTTACTCTTGCCCTTCATTCCTCTCAGTGCTGGGTGCCTACTGCCTGCATTCCTTTTTTCTCCGCTGCCAACCAATTCCGTTATAGCCAACACAATGGATTTTGGAGAGCTGAAAAGCCCCATTGGCTTCAACATACTCAACGATTACCTGGCCGACGAGCTACATCAAGGGGTGTGTGCTGGTGTGGCAGTATTTGAAGCAGTTTCAGGTCTACCACCTGCAGACTTGTATCACACCTTATGCTGGTATACTCACATCAAGTCTTTGGAAAGACAAACCACTTGCCAGGAGTTTGAGCAAGTATGGTCCTGTTAATGTGAAAAACGCCACAGGAAGTGGAGTGACAGATAGTAAAGAGTATGATGACACTGCTCTCTCTGGATCTGAAGAGGAGGAAAGGGAAAAAGCAAGGAGGCTGGGAGAAGAACACCTTGCAATTATGAGTGAAAGAAAATTCCAAACCTTGTACCATTTTTTGCCAAGTTTCCCATCTTATTAGATGTGTGACCTTGGAATGACGAGACAGATATTGCAAACTTAGAGGAGTGCATCAGAAGCAGGCTGCAGTTGGCTTGGTTTGGGGGCTCTTTAAACTAGTGTCTGTGGGGCCTCCGTGGTGGCGCAGCGGTTGAGCGCTGGGTTGTGAAGCTGCTCGCAGCCTCTGCAGAGCCGGTTCCATCCCCGGCTGCTCCCCGGCCACCAGAGGAGGGTCCCACATGGCGCACAGACCTCTCCTGCCGCCCGCTGCTCCCCTCAGCAGTGTACTTCGGTCCTTCTGCCTGCTCTGCTCCCCGCTCTGGCTCTGGTGAATTCTCTCACCCTCCCGCGCTTCTGACTGTACCCAGTGCATGTATAAACAAAACAAACAAACAAACAAACAAACAAACAAACAAATAAATAAACATGCCTCTATAAAAAAAATAATAAAAAATAAAAAAAAATAAACTAGTGTCTGTGGGCTATAGAACGAAGCTTCAAATAGTATGTGATTGAAGATGACAAAGTTGGAACAGATATAGCATATAGATCCACCCTAATTTCAGTGAGTAAAGGTATCTTACCATTTTCTAAACAGATCTTGGATCTCAGTGAAAAGCGGATGACAGCAGGTATACTGCTATTCTGGGAGGTCTGGGAATTCGGTATTTGTTTAACAAGAACTAGAGAAAAGAAGAAGGAACATGATGAGGAAGAAGGGAAGGAGAACAAAAAGAGCATTTGCTAGATAATTATCAACAGAAATTCAATTGTTAATATTTAAATACTCTTACTAGGGGATAAGCAAAATTTCCCATAAACATCCACAAGAACCCATAAAATATTTTCATCATTTGTTCTGAAAATGAATCATCTCTATAAATTAAAAATTCCTCTGAATAATTTCTTGGTTTATTAAAAGATTGTGCTTCAATTATGCTTTGGATCTAAGAACTGTCCTTCCACATGAGAATTACTGGAACCCATTTGTTTTACTGTCAATACTTCTTTTAGCAATTAGCTAACAGTCAGAAACCTATTGCTAGTGGAAAAAAAAAAGGCTACCTGATATCCTGTATCATTACTTAGTTTTGTGTTAAATTATTATTTTTTAAAAAAGATTTATTTACTTATGCATACAAGAACTGGGGTACAGGCCAGAGGTGCAGGGGGTGAGAGGATTCACCAGAGACAGAGTGGGAAACAGAACAGGCAGACTGACTGAAACACACTGCTGAGGGGAGCAGCGGGCGAGACAGGAGAGGTCTGCTGTGCCATATGGGTCAGCTCCCTGGCCGGGGATCAAACTCATGCTGCAATGGCTGCAGATAGCTTCACAGTGCTGTGCTTAACCCCTTGCGCCACGAGGGAGGCCCTTGTGCTAAATTATGAATCCAAGACAGGTAGTTTTATTAATCTATAAAACAGAACGAATTATCCTGTGCAAAAAAAAAAAAAGATGTTTTAAAAGCTGCCTGAAAAAACAAGCAAACAGAATGGGGACATTTTGAAAAGAAAGCAAAACTTGTAGGAATTCTTAAACTTCATATATGAATTAGGAGGTTGTAAGTCCAGGACCCAGTCAAGCTGCATCTAAAATAAATAAGACAATACAGTGATTATGATAAGAAAAAAAAAAGATATAAGGCTACAGGGAAGAATTTGCAAAATAATCGTGACTTACTGAGCATTTACTACATGCTAGGCACTGTGCTAAGCACCTTACACATATTATATCATTTAATTCTCTCAATAAAGTTCTAGCATTAATTATTCTCATTTTATAGATGAGGAAATCAAGACTTTAATTTCCCCAATAGTACAGAACTGGTCAGCAGCAGAGCTAGGATTCAAAACAAAGTCTTTCTAAGACATTTGCGATCAACTGGATGGATCTTGAGAGGATTATGCTATGTGATAAAAGTCAGAGAAAGACAAATACTATATGATTCCACTCATACGTGGAATACAAAGAAACAAAGTAAGTAGACGAACTATACTCTTAGATGCTGAGAACAGATTTGTGGGAAGGGAAGGGATTTGGGGAGTGGGTGAAGTGGGCAAAGTGATCAATTACATGGTTGTAGATGGAAACTAGAATTTTGGTGGTTATCATTATGTAGTATACACAGATGTGAAAGTATAAATGCTTTACGCATGAAACTCATGCAACGTTATAAACCAATGTTGTTTCAAAAATGAAAAAAAATTCAAAAAGGCTATGACTTTCTAACTCCAAATAAAGGTTGTCTCATATGCTGTTGGTGGGAATGTAGACTGATCCTGCCTTTAAGGAAAACAGTATGGAGATAGCTTAAAATATTAAAAATAGATCTACCACATGATCCAGCAATTCCACTCTTATGTATCTATGCAAAAAAATTAAAAACATTAATTTGAAGGGATATATGCACTCATGTTTACTATAGCACTTATTTACAACAGCCAAGCTGAGGTAAAGTGAAGTTAAGAAATGTGTTTAAAGTTATACACCTGGCAGTGCAATAGCCAGAGAGGAACTCAGGAATCCTAAGTAAAACCCTACACTAGGTTACTCCTCTAGCTCAGATGGATCATCGTAAGGATAGGTGCACTACTATTTATCCTTCTTGTTAATAGCATTACCATTATAATAGTAGAATTGGAGTTAGGGACAAAGTGGCAGAGAGACAGAATGTTGGGAGTCAAAAGAACAGGGTTGGCTGAATTATATTCCAGTGTATGCACATACCACATGTTGTTTATCCTTTCATCTATCAATGGGCTTTAGGGTTGTTTCCACTTTTGGCAATTATGAATAATGCTGCTATGTGCATTGGTATACAAGTATATTTGAGTTCCTGCTTTTAATAACATCCAGCTGAAGATAACTTCATTCCAGACTGCATATTATTTTTAGAAACAATTTTCCAAATATGATAACTAACACAAAATAAAAAATAGGCATTTTTACAGGAAGTCAAGAGAACATGAATGAGAATCAGCATTAAAGAGGGGATGGAGGTAGGAGGGACATAGGTTTAGGCTGTGGAAGGACAACTTAAATGATCCTTGCTGTGATGGAAAGGATTTGACTGCGTCAATGTCATATCATGGTTGTGATGTTGTATTACAGTTTCGCAAAATGGAGGAAATGATATATCTGCATGTGGGTCTACAATTATCTTAAAATTAAGATGTTCAATTTAAAATAATACATCTGTGGTTGGCAATGTATTTCTGTTGGACCATGGTGCTATAAGAGAATTTGTAGGACCCCCTGAGGCAGAGTTCATGTCACATGAATGAAGCACAATATTCTATTTAAGAGAAAACATTATATATTTTCGTATCTTTTGACAGGCATTTATAAATTTATTAAAATGATCAGCACACAGCCTCCCTGGTGGTGCAGGGGTTAAGTCTCAGTGATACCAAGCTATCGCCAGCCACTGCAGCATGAGTTCGATCCCCAGCCAAGGAGCTAACCCCCAGGGCACAGCAGACCTCTCCTGTCTCATCTGCTGTTCCCCTCAACAGTATATTTCAGTAGATCTCCCTGTTCTATTCCTCACTCTGTCTCTGGTGAATCCTCTCACCTCCTGCACCTCTGGTCTACACCCCAGTTCTTGTATGCATACATAAATAAAATAAATCTTAAAAAAAATGATCACATAAACTAAATATCGCTAATATAATGTTTTGTCAGTATCTCACTTGCTGCTTTCATCCTTTTTTTTTGAAACCTAGAGGACTATTTATAAGTCTAGTAACTTATATTTACATATTTTTTTCCATAGACTTACCTGACACATGTTTTGTTTGCACCAGTTTATTTTCCTTATGATATTCTTCCATGGAAGAGCTGGGGACTTGGTATTCCTTTAAGTCAGCTATAGGCATAGATGTGGACTCTTTTTGCAAGATACTGTGTTTCTTCAACCTTGGAGCTTTGGTTTCACACTTATAAGCACCTTCAGTAAGCTCAGACCAACTGTAATTTATAAGATTTACAATTCCCACAGGGAAAGTAATGTTATACTCAACATATTTCTGCAATATCTCTGCAAGTTCATTCAGTATTTCAGAAGCAGTAAGTTTGTATTCTTCAAGTAGACGCTTTTGCAGGCATATTTTGGCAGATTTAAGATGAGGAGAAAACTTGGAAACACTATAAAATGGTGAGATGCCAGATGAGTGGGACTCATAGTTCTCCTCAGGTATAGTTATTGTAGATAATGCTTCTAGTTCTTTAGATTTTGTATTCTCTGTGTGACTGTAAAAAATATATATAAATCTTAAAGATATTTATACTCTTTAACCTAGCAATCTGACTTACATAAATTCAACTTAAAGTATAATTAAAAAGATATGTAACATATATGCATAAAATTGCTGATTGGTACATCATCTTTTTTTCGTATTTTAATTAATTTATTTATTTTTAATATTTTATTTTATATAATTCTTACATCATTTTTCATTTTTGCATAATGTATGCATTTTCATTTTGGTTATATTCCCCATACAATTGCACCCCCCCTTATTTTGACCCTAATCCTTCCTCTCCCCACCCTTCCCAGTATCCCCCCTCATAGTGTGTCCCTGGTTTATAGTTGCTTGTTGATTTTGATTTTTACTTTGTATTAATTAGTCTTTTTCCTGGTCCCTTATTTAGGTTTTCTAAATTCCTGCTATGAGTGAGACCATCTGGTATTTTTCTTTTTATTTCTGACTTATTTCGCTGAGCATGATCCCTTCTAGCTCCATCCATGTTGCAGCAAACTGCGTGTGTTTATTTTTTTTTGATTGCTGATTAATATTCCATTGTGTATATGGTACATCACCTTTTTTTTTTTTTTTTTTAGAGGCATGCTTTATTTATTTGTTTGCTGGTTTGTTTGTTTGTTTTGTTTTATACATGCACTGGGCACAGTCAGAAGCGCAAGAGGGTGAGAGAATTCACCAGAGCCAGAGTGGGGAGCAGAGCAGGCAGAAGGACCGAAGTACACTGCTGAGGGGAGCAGCGGGCCGCAGGAGAGGTCTGCGCGCCATGTGGGACCCTCCTCTGGTGGCCGGGGAGCAGCCGGGGATCGAACTGGCGCCGCAGAGGCCGCGGGCAGCTTCGCAACCCAGCGCTCAACCTCTGCGCCACCGGGGAGGCCCAGTATATCATCTTTTGATACAAGAAAAATTGAGAAGAATATTTTAGTATACAATAGTAGTAAGTAAATAATGCCATACTCATACAATGGGAAACCAATAAACCAATAAACCACTGTTTATTGGTTTTGAATAAAACAAAATTTGGAAAACTGCTTATGTTATAAAATTATATAAAAAGTATACACAATTAAATATGTGGAATGATCTCAAATGTATAGTATATATATGCTGTATCTGGTAGTAGAAAGATGAAGCAAATTTTCACGAGAAAGTATACTGTGGGATTATGGAGGTCATTAAAAATTTTCTCCTTTATATTATAGTTTTCCACAATGAACATTTACTATGTTTATACACAGAAGATATAAACCAATATTCCGTGTTGTTTATTCACTTGTTTAATTATAAAATAAGACAGAGATAATTTCTTCTAGAAAGTCCTCCCTGAATTTCTTACGTTGGTTTACAAACACATTCTGTTCCCTCAGTCCATCCTTCAACCCATTAAATATCACTAAATTTATACTGAAATTCCAAAGCAGACAATACAAACAGATCCACAAATGGGGAAAATATATCAAATATTGAAATTTTGAGCCACAGTTTATAAAACACGTATGTTTTATTTAAAATTTATAAGTGATCGTTTCCTTTTGGTAATAGCAATTAGGTAATTCAAAGTAACCTTCCCTTGGAAGACAACTAAAGAAGCAGGGCAAAAAAAAAAAAAATAAACAAAACACCTTCTTAACGGCTATGGAGAGATAACAAGACAGTGAAGAGTTATTGTCTGAGTATCTGAGAGAAGATGGAACTCCAAAGAGAAAAACTCCATATTTCCCCTTAGTGGAGATATACGGGTTGGGAGAGGGAATTTACCAGTTCTAGAAGAGGCATCTGAGAAGCTTAGGGTCTAAACAGGTCTTTCCATAGCTTTGTGGTGACTCAAGTTTGAAAATTTGGTATATGATAGGAGATCATTGGTTTACACCCAAAGGCTATATCCTAGAAGTAAGGGTTACCCAGAAATAGACTTAGACCAGCACACTGAAACACAGCTTCACATGATCTCACTTCTTAAAACTGAATTAATGTGACCCCCAAGGGTTGCCATCTCCAAGGATCTGTCATAAAAAATGTGATCCACAAAGGGAGGCCAGGAGGATAGGAGAGAGAGAGGGAAGGAGGGAGGGAGGGAGTTATGCTGAATTGTTTTTCAAGCAAAAAAAGTTGGAAATGAAGAGACAACATAGTTCTGAAAAGAGCAGGAATTTGCAATGGTCTTGAGAAAAGTTAAAGCAGGACCAAAATTAAAAAATACAGATCTTCTCAACCATGCACTATTGGAATTTTGAGGTAGATAATTCTCTATTGCAGGCGGAGTCCCATGCATTATAGAATATTTAGCAGCATTTATAGTCTCTGTCCCCTAGATGACAATAACATCATCCCCCCATCCCTTGCTGAGCCAACCAAAATGTCTCCAAACATTTCCAAATGTCCCCCACTTGAGAACTCACTGGTATAACTAATGAGTATTATACAGTCTGTGATTTATGCTTTAAGGCAGCGTGGGGGTACTTTAATTTCTACTTCACAAGTAAGGAAACTATAGAAACCAGAGGAAAAAAACATGAACGACTAGTTTCATTATTTCATTCGTAATTGTGGGCCTGACACAATTTCATGAATGTTAATTACAAATATTCATTAAGCACACTCTATATGCCAATACATATTCTATGTGTTTTGAGGACTGGAGCTAGAGAAGTGATCAAGGAGAGTAAAAAAAAAATCTTCCTTTTGGGCTTTCCTGGTGGCCTAGGGGTTCAGTCTCAGCACTATTACTACTAAGGCCTAAGTTTGATCTCAGGCCAGAGAGCTAACCCACATGGCACAGCAGACCTCTCCTGTCTTTCCTGCTGCTCCCCTTAGCAGTGTATTTCATATTTCAGTAAATTTGCCTGTTCTGCTCCTTGCTCTGTCTCTGGAGAATCCTCTCAACCCCCTGTACCTCTGGCTTACACCCTAGTTCTTCTATGCAAAAGTTAAAAAAAAAATTTAAATTTTGCTTTTGCAGACCCGATACTCTTGTGAGGAGAGAGGGCAAACAAATAAATAGGGGTATCGTTAAAAATGTTAGAAAGCAATAGGTGCAACAGAGAAGTAGGAAGGGGTACAGAAAATGGCAAGAGAACAGGGTGGAAATTTGAGCTAGAAGGTTAGGAAGTCTCATCACAAAGGTGAAATTTAAGTAAAGACTTAAAGGCAACAGAGGTAAACTATGCAGAAAATGGGGTTGAGGGGGAAGAGCCTAAAGTTCGAATGCCCCAAGACAAGAGTGGGGCTGGGTTTGCTGTGGAATTGCAAGAAAACTGGGATCAAGGGTGCCTTAATGAATCATTAATCTGGCTAAAATAAAGTTCTCTGGTTAACTTTATGATCAACTTTGAAGTGGCAATTCCTTGATGTAGTTTCTGGAGGAAAGGAGAATAGGGAAAGATTGATACTGAGCACCTTCTAATTCCTTGAAAGTAACTCCAGCAGCTGAAGAATATCTAAATGTTTTACCTATACTCATGTCTTAAGCGGTATTTCAGATGAGGGATGCAGTCTTCATGTTTTGTCTTTTCCCATCTTTTCCTTTTTGGTTTCATCTAAAATGAAAGAGATCTTTTTGATTAAAAGCTGGAGAAAAATATTGGTTAAAAATGAATTTAAAGAATACTACAATTTGTTGAGACTGAACAGATTTTACCTGATCAAAGAAATAGATGGGCCCAATGTCCAAAGGTTTAGCTTCAGTAAAGTCTCCCATTTTGCCATGAGATCTAAGAGATCTGAAAACAAATATCATGTCTACAGGTGATATTTCAAAAACATTTAATGGTTTCTGTGTCTCCATTTTCACTTCATAAACAATGGACTTGACATAATTGCACTGGGAAGGATTGTGAGCTATTAACAAACACAGCAATTAGCATATCAATTATCATATCAACCTCATTAGTATTGACATTTTGGCCAAGATAATTTTTTGTGGTAAGGGGCTACCTTCAGCATTGTAGAATGCTTAGTAGCATCCCTGGCCTCTATCTACCTGATACCAGCAGCATAAATCCTTACCCAGTTATGTTACAGGGCAGGGGGAAGGAGCATTCCAGGGCCCCCAAATCTGCCTGCTCTAAATGGATTCTGCCATTCACTGCGTAAAGACATAACATACTCTAGTATGTTGTATATATCATAACTCTAGTGTGTAAGACCTTCAGTAAAAAATAACTTTAATACAATAGTTTGCAATAAAGAGAAGAGAAAGAATCTAGTTATGAAATTAAGCACCTGAAGTTAGCCATCTCCTTGTGTGTGAATGCCCAGCCAAAGCAGGACTGCTGAGACCCAAAAGCTTGCCACAAATCTGAGGCAACTTCTGGCGTGGACCCATAAAAAAGGGGCAGAATGGGCCAGACAAGTCTGGAAGGAGCAAAATCAAAACCCAAGTCAAGAAAAAGGCTGCCACTGTTAGCCTCCTTGTGGGTTTTTCACCATGTCTGTCTCAAGTGTCTCCTTCCATGTTCCCCAAGTCCCTGGTACTAGTCCAAGGCCCAGATGCAAGCACAGCTTCTTCACATGTCTGCTCCATGTGCCTCTTTAAAAAAAAAAAAATTTACATTTTTACTTATTTATGCATACAAGAACTGGAGTGAAAGCCATAGGTGCAGGGGAGCGAGAAGATTCACCAGAGACAGAGTGGGGAACAGAACAGGCAGACCAACTGAAATACACTGCTGAGGGGAGCAGCAGGCAAGACAGGAGAGGTCTGCTGTGCCATGTGGGTCAGCTCCCTTGCTGGGATCAAACTCATGTTGCAGAGGCTGGTGTTAGCTTGAGAGCACTGAAACCTTAACCCCTGTGCCACCAGGGAGCATGTACTTCCTTCTTGATCTCTTTTCTCCCTCTTGTCTTCTCTAGCTTTTCCTCCCTGCTCAGCTCCGCCCCTCCCTTGGGTGGGGCAGAGAATCCGGGATGTTTCCTTTCCGTGGGGATTACCCTGTTACAGTTACAGCAGCTGAAAGTGTCTCATGAGATTGCCAAATGTGCCTGTGGTATCAAAATTGTTCCCAATTGAGAATGACTGTGCTAGTAGAAAAGCCAAGTAAATAAATAAATAATTAAGGTTTGATAAGGTTTGATAATAAATAATAAATAGGGTTTGATAAGGAATAGTGCCTGTGAAGATGAGTGACACTGTGCATGGCAGGGTCATGCCATTCAAAATGTCGTCCCTGAAAAGCAGAGAAAGATATCACAGGAAAAGAAAATTAAAAAAGACCAATATCACTGATGAACGTAGATGCAAATATCCTAACCAAATCTTAGCAAACCATTCAATAATGCATTAAAAGGATCATACATCATGACCAAGTGGGACTTCTATCAGAGATGCAAGGACGATTTAACATCTAAAAATCGATCAATGTAATTCAAATCAACAAAAGGAATGATAAAATGGTAGGATCACCTCAAAAAATGCAGTGAAAGCATTTGATGAAATTCAACATCAATTTATGATAACCTCCTCAAATGGGGATAGATGAAACATTCCTCAATATCTATAAAACATTGTTGAAAGAAATTAAAGAAAAATCTAAAGATTATAAATGGAAATGTATTCTGTGTCCATGGGAAGACTTACCATTAAGATGGCAATACTCCCTGAATTGATCTACAGAGTTAAAACACAAGGGTCCTTTTTGCAGAAAATAGCAAGGTAAAATTTCTAAAATATGCATGGAAATTCAAATACCCAGAATTGCCAAAACAATCTTGAGGACTCACATACTTTCCAACTGCAAAACTTATTCCAAAGGCTATAGTAATCAGATGTAGTACTGGCATAAGAATGGCTATATCAACGGATTAGAATTGAGTGTAGAAATAAATTCTCTGCTATTTATTGTCAATTAATTTTTGACAGGCATGCCAAGACAATTCAATGGGGGAAAAGTAGTCATTTTAACACATGCTAGTGGGACAACTGGATATTCACATGTAAAAGAAGGAAGCTGGACACCTACATCACAATAGATAGAAAAAATTAACTCAACGGGCCTCCCTGGTGGTTCATTGGGTTAAGGCGCAACCTATGAAGCTATCCACAGCCTCTATGGCATGAGTTCGATCCCCAGCCAGCCAGGGAGAGACTCACATGGCACAGCAGACCTCTCCTGTCTCGCCTGTTGCTCCCCTCAGCAGTGTATTTCAATAGATCTGCCTGTTCTGTTCCCCACTCTGTCTCTGGTGACTCCTCTCATCCCCCACATCTCTGTCCTGTACCCCAGTTCTTGTATGCATAAATTAATAAATCTTAAAAAAATTAACTCAAAATGGGTCATAGAATTTAAAAAGTTTGCAACTCTTATATGCAATGATGGCTTAGTATGCAGAATATATACAGAACTCTTAAACTCAACAATAAAAAGACAAATAACTAAATTTTTAAGAAGAAAGGGGTTTGGATAGACATTTCTCCTAAGAGTATAGGTAAATGGCCTATATAGCACATGAAAAGGTATTCTATATCAGATTTAATTTTAGCTGCAAGAGTTGTTGATGAAGGGGATCTGAAATAAAAGATCCTTTGCTCCTTGAGCTGGCGTTCAGCATACTGCATCCCTATCTCTTATGAAGAGCCTTCTTTTGATGCTCCTTAATAAAATTGTTCTCATTGAAGTCACCAGTGACCTCCCAGTGATTAAAATCAATGGTATTTTGAGACTTCGTACTACTTGTACTACTACTTTGTACTACTCTTTTCATAGGTGACTAAACTTTTTATTTCATAAAATGTTTTTCTCTCCTCACTTCTATGTAATTATTCTCTATAGCATTTTCTCCTTCTTGTCCTATCATTTATTTTTGCAGCCTCAACAATCTTTACAAATAAGGACTGTCTTTACAACAGTCCTTACAAATAAACAAATGAACAAACGGCCACCACTCCCAAACCTTAGTGTTCGTCTGGGTTGTTTAGTTTTTCTATCCTTTTCTCCTGAACTACCTCATTCATAGCCTTCTAGCACACCTAGGCGCTAATAACTCTTATGCCTCTATCTCTAGGTCCATATTTCTAACTGACTACTAGATATCTTTGCCTGGATGCCCTGCAGGCACCTCAAACTTATAGTGTCCAGAGCTTATCTTCCCCTGCACCCCCTCCTCCTCCCATATTTCCTATCTCAGGGAGTAATACTGCTATCCACTCAGGAAGGCAAGTCAGAAACCTGGGTGTCATTCTTGATTCCTCTCTCTCCATGTTTGATGGAGTTGAATTCTTGATTAGTACTTACAAATGTTTCTGCAATCCAACATCTCCTCTATAATCCTCCAACCATATAAATTCTCATCAATATTGTCACCAAAAATAACATATTAACAGGCCTCCCTAATTCCAGCTATCCTGATTTTAATGTTTGCTTTAGAGTTGAGGCCAACATTTCTCACTCCTTAATCTCATTCAATTTTATTTTAATTTTTTAAAATTTATTTTTGCATATTAGAACTGAGGTGTAGGCCATAGGTGCGGTGAGGGGGGTTAAGAGGATTCACCAGAGACAGAGTAAGGAGCAGAACAGGCGTATTTTCTGAAATACACTGCTAAGGGGAGCAGTGGGCAAGATAGGAGAGGTCTGCTGTGCCATATGTGGGTTGGCTCCCTGGCGGGGAATCAAACTCTGGCCACAGCAGTGATAGTGCAATAGCACTGAGACTTAACCCCTATGCCACTAGTGAGGCCATATATTATTTTTCACTAGTACCTTGAAGTTTTATTTATGAAATGAAAGGGAGAGAAATAGTAATACAGTGACTTTGCAGGGATTTTCATTGCTTGTAGCAGCTTTTTTTCCCCCACTGTACAAACTTTATTTTGACATTGATAATTCTGTACATCAACTTGTATCTCAAACACCCCTTTGTTAAAATTCATCAACCCTATAGGTTTTGTTCCCTAGGCTCCTGTGTCTCCTGGGCTGGGTCTGAAGTAGTAGTCAGAACCAGGTGTTCCTACACTTAAAAAGGAACTAGAAAGATTCACAAAAAAGCTAGCAGGCATTTTTGATGTAGTAAGTTTTACCTATAAGGATGTTAGAAAGGTTTCTAACATTTTTACCTTCAAAAAGAATAAATTTTGATTTCTCCTGAGGTTGACCAGCCACATTCTTGCTCCCAATCTGAAGATCATGTAGACCCTTTAAAAATCCTCAGCTTTGTGATAGGTTACCTTAAAATAGAAAATAATTAAGTAATGAAATCAAGAAAGTATTAATATTTTCATCATTCATGTCTATTTCATTGAATGGTAAACTTTCTTGAAGGTACAGATTTCTCTTAATCATTTTTTATGTGAGCTATCCAGAGATCACTAAATGACCACTCACACTAGAATCCACAGATTCCTCTTTTAAATATAATCTCTTTACTGTTCCCTTTGCTGTGAATATTCTCCCTAAAGCTCTACCCTACCCTTGACTTTTCCTCAGATCTCAGTCTAATTGCCACTTTGTCAGTGAAATCTTACTTGATTACTATGTCTAGAAAAATCCCTTATAAATATGCTCTCATATCACTAGATGTAAATGCCTCTTTATTAGAATTATTGATTAATGCTCTTTATGTTAATTGCTTCCATGACAAGGACTATATCTATTTTTGTTCTATGTATTGCTAGATCCAGGCACACAGTAAGCACTGAATAATTGGATGGATGGATGAGGATCAGTGACTATATTAGCCAAAGAGCTGCACAGATAAAACGAACCATGTGTACAGTGCTCCAAGGTCAGAAAAACTTTGAAAGCTGGAAGAAGAAAAGGAATAGAAAGACTAAAGAAGCAGATAATGGGACAAATGCTGCATTTAAAAAATTTTGGATAAGTGTAGTTACCTCTATTTTTTTATGTTATTCCTGTACTTTCATATTGCCAGAACATCACTTCAAATAGGGATATGTATAGAGAGAAAGATACGTAAAGAAACGAGAGTCGTTTTTAGTAGGATTACAGAGGCACTGCCAGAACCCTTAAGACAGATAATGTACTTTATACCACAAAAGATTGGAAGTGAAGAAATAGTCAAAATTCAGTTACATTTTGATGTATTTTATGTTTGCATTAATGGGATAGGCTGTTTTCTGGTGTGTCAGGACCTGCAATGTGTGTGTGTGTGAAGAACTGGAAAATCAGAGGAGTGTGTGTGGGGTGCAGGGGTCTCATCTTGAGTCACATTCTGATGTATTTCATGTTTGCATTAATGGGATAAGCTGTTTTCTGGTGTGTCAGGAACCTGTAATGTGTGTGTGTGTGTGTGTGTGTGTGTGAGAAGAACTGGAAAATCAGAGGAGTAGGTGTGGGGTGCAGGGGTCTCATCTTGAACCAACAGGGGTCCAGAACACAAGCCAACTAACATGGAATTCCAGTTTCCCCAGTGACCCCCTTAAGTGCATGGAGAGTTCATCTTGAGCTCCAATGTTGAGTAACATCACAGTCCTTTTTCATCATAAAAACATCAATTTATGATAACCTCCTCAAATGGGGATAGATGAAACATTCCTCAATATCTATAATACATTGTTGAAAGAAATTAAAGAAAAATCTAAAGATTATAAATGGAAATGTATTCTGTATCCATGGGAAGACTATTAAGATGGCAATACTCCCTGAATTGATCTACAGAGTCAAATCCCAAGGGTCCATTTTGCAGAAAATAAGCAAGCAAGGTAAAATTTCTAAACTATGCATGGAAATTCAAGTACCCAGGATTGCCAAAACAATCTTGAGGACTCACACACTTTCCAACTGCAAAACTTATTCCAAAGGCTATAGTAATCCCATGTAGTACTGCCATAAGAATGGATACATCAACGGACTAGAATTGAGTCTAGAAGTAAATTCTCTGCTATTTATTGCCAATTAATTTCTGACAAGCATGCCAAGACAATTCAATGGGGGAAAAGCAGTCATTCAACACATGCTAGCGTGCTGATGTACCAGTAAACACATTTTTTGAGCTCTGGCCACGCTTCCTGCGCCTTATAAAACACCGACTATAAAACTGTGATTTCAGCAGAGAAGCCCCCTCCCTCTCGTGAGCTGAGCGGGTCCAGAGGGCGGGCTCAAGCTTACTCTGGGTTCCCTTCCAGCTTGGCCCTAAGGTTTCGGGACGCGGCAGGTGTCCAGCGCGGCCCCAGCCAACCGCAGCCAGGCCCGCCCCGCCCGGCTGGAGGCAGCGTGGCGCCCGCGTGGGCCAGCCCGCGAGCCGGTCGCCCCGCCGCGCGCGCGCCCCCGCAGTCCTCCGCCGTCCCAGCATGCCCCGCGCCCTACCATCGAGCGCGGCTTCCGGCGTCGCTGGTGGGGGTGGGTGAAGAAGGAGCGGGCCTTTGCCGCTCTGGCTCACTCTCTCGCGCTCTCTCGGGCAACATGGCGGGCGTGGAGGAGGCGGCGTCCTCCGGGAGCCACCTGAATGGCGACCTGGATGCAGACGACCGGGAGGAGGGAGCGGCCTCTACGGCTGAGGAGGCGGCCAAGAAAAAAAGACGGAAGAAGAAGAAGAGTAAAGGAGCTGCCACAGGTAAAGGGAATTTGGTTTTTTCCTGTCCCTACCAGGGATGGCCGAACGGCCGGGCTGAGGCCCGGAGGGCTGACAGGGTGTGGGGACGCGGAGTCCCCGGCTGAGCTTGGCTGCCGGGCCTGTGCGCGTGTCGCTGCGGGACTGCGGGCTCCCCAGGCCTTGGGAGAGCGGCGGCTGCTTCTTCAGCCGGGCTCGGGAGCTGGTGGGCTGGGATGGGAGAGAAAAGTGCCTCAGCCTCGCGGGAGGTGGCTCTGGGGTGCTGGGCCCGAGCCCCTGGATGGCCAGGACTCGGCTCCCGCACTGGCGGCCCCACGGACTTGAAGCTGTGCCCAGGGGCCGGCCTTACCGCCTTGCAGTTGGGCCTGCTCCTCAAAAACCTGGTTCTGACCCATTCTGTCGCCTCTAGGCTGGAGCAGCCTGGAGCTGATTTGCGACCAGGGTTGGGGTGGAGTGGGCCAGTCTTAGTTCCCTGAGCACCTCTGCCCGCCACCAGCCCACGGTGTTGCAGAGGGGTTTGTTGGGGACCACACTCCGGGAGGGGGTGTGTGTGCCCACGCGCTCGTGTCTCTCAGTAGTAGCTGCAAGACGTGTGGTGTGCTGCGAATTTTCACCTGCCTGATCCCGCAGCATCATGAAGCTTTGAGGGCTGCTAGATCTGAATTTAGACTTGCGGGCAGACTAGATGTATACGGTGGCTGTGAATTTCGCTAAAGTCACTGCTGAGGCAGTGAAAGCAGCTGAAACTTTGCGCTTGGGTTATACGTTAAGAATTAAAATTTATGGAGCAGTCATTTTTTTTGTTGCCCAGTATCTGCCGGTTTTGGAAAAGTTTTTCTTTATCTGTGTCTAATTAAAAGCAGCTATAGAAGTGAGAGAAAAATGAAGAGAGCAGAAGTGATGAATTTAAGAGTTGAGGAGACATTGGAGAATGTTAATCTATTTCTTTCTGAAATTCTGATTCGGTGGAATTGTAAGATTTGTAGATGCTGGGACACTCCCAGAGCGAAATTTAAACCCAGACATAGTCTGGTGGCTGCTCCTGGCTTTCAGATGAAATCCGAACCCTAATTTGTATTTTAAGGAGTTCAGTAGATTATTAATGTATTTTTTTCAGTAGTTGTATCTCTCAATATAAGTCCTTCACAGTAGCCAGAATATCACTTCATTAGGTGCTAATACTATCTCATTCTACGCTATTACTCCTACAGCTAGATTGACTTCCAAAGCAGGTACCTGGTCTTATGCTAAGCTATTCAAGATTTCATTTTTAACAGTGGAATATCTTCCTATTTATTTTGACTTTACTCAGCCCAGCTTGACAATTTAGCCCTCAGTATCCCATAGAAATCCTCTTTTTACTATGGCTTTCATAATTATTGCCTATCTTATGTGCTTCCTTATTTGATAACTTAAAATATGTGTTGTTTGTTAATACTTTAAAAAGTTAATTTGCTTAAGGACAGGGACCAAGAAATGCTTTTTTTAAATCCTTTAGCTGCTAATTCAGAACATGTAATGGGTATTGAATTGAACAACACTTAGATATGAAAGATTTTTCTGTCATTAAATAAATTTTACTATGTTTACAGTGTTTTGTTTTTGTTTCCTGAACACTTTATCAGGAAAGAAGTTGTGTGTTCTTCAGAAACCTTAGAACATATTCTAATGGGAAAGTACTTAATTAAATTTGATTTATGCTGTTTTATTTGATCAGCAGGGCAACAGGAACCTGATAAAGAATCAGGAACCATTGTTGATGAGGTAGCCAAACAATTGGAGAAACAAGCATTAGAAGAGAAAGAAAGAGATGATGATGATGAAGGTAAGTGGTTAATTTGTTTTTTGTTTTGTTTTTCAAAGATATATTTATTTATATAAGAACTGGGGTATAAGCCAGAAGTGCGGGAGGGTGAAAGGATTCATCAGAGACAGAGCAGAACAGGCAGTCAGATAGAACACACTGCTGAGGGGAGCAGCAGGTGAAACGGGAGAGGTCTGCTGCACCATGTGGGAATCTCTCTGGCCATCCAGGAATCGAACCCGCGCTGCAGAGGCTGTGGACAGCTTCACAGTGCTGTGCTGCACTCAACCCGCTGTGCCACCGGGGAGGTCCTAAATGGTTAATTTGATTTTCAGTTCGAAAAGCAAGAAAAATGACAGTCTTTAAATGAAATGTCTTTTTTCCATATAGTCTATTATTAGCTGTTGTTTTACTTAATTATTTGGCATTAAACTTCAGTGTTGTAAGTAGAAGGTCTTTATTAGCAACTCTTTGAAAAGTTGACTATGTTTAATGACTGCTCAAATAGTGCAGATCTCTACTTTTAAAAAACATGTACTTGGTAAAAAGCCAACTACTGGGTATTAGCAAGATAAAATTGAGGAACTTTATTTAACTGATATTTTATTGAATAACTAGTATAAAGTAGACTCTATCCTGGAATACTTTCAAAATGCATTTTCATTTTACCCTCAGAAAACCAAGCAAAGTAGGTATTCTTTTTAGGAAATGATGATTATGTGATTTGTCCACTGTAACACAGTTAGTAGCATAAAGGTAGAATTTCAAAGCCAGTGCCTGATCCAAAGTTATTCCTTCTATTCTCTATCATAACTACCTCTTTATTTGTGGAAGAAAATATTATAAATTTCCTGATCGTAGCTTCTTGTGATATTTTGATAAGATTTCTTTAAAGATAGTAAATGTTGGAATTCTAGGAATTCATGCTGTCAGTAAAATGGTGGAAGAAGAGATTAGGTAAGAACTATTACAGTTCTGTAGCCTCTTTGGCAGAGTGGGAGATGGAGTTCCATTCTCAGTTATCCTAGCTGTGACCTACCTACCACAGTCTCTTAAGCATTGGCAGTTTAGGTATATGCCTTTCAACCATTAGCAACAGACTGTAATTATTGTGTTAGTATAATGTAGAAGAGTTGTTTAGAAAGAGATTCTCTGCCTTCAGGGTGCGTACAGTCAATTTTTGGTTAAAAAAGATTACAGGGAATAGTTGGCTTTTTCTCTTCCCTAAAGAAAGCTCTTGTCCATCCTATTTTGGTATATGATTCAGATTATGAAGGTATTTGAGCTCTTATTAAGAAAGGGTTTGTAAATTCAAGGTACTTTAATAGACCCACTTTGTGTAGAATGTCACAATGCTCAATTTGAAAGTGTATCTTACTGCACTTTCACAATATTGTATGACTCTTTCGACATTGGAGGGGAAAATTTTCAACCTTCAGTGTTGAAAAATTTTAGTGTCTTAGTTCGTTTTCTTCAATTTGGGCTAAACATTTTCCTAATTCATTTCAATTATCAATATCAACCAATATCTTTCATCTGTTTTGTGAGATCTTTTAGGGTATGGAAAACTTATATCTCAGGATATTTGTTGTTAAGGAACATTAACAGTGGTGAAAAGACAATGTAGAGGTGTAAAGATATAATCAGTGTCTGCAGTAAATTTTATTGACATTTGGAGGTAGAATTGTGGTCTTGAATGTGGAGGAAGGCTCATTGGAAGAAATGGGACTTGAATAAAACTAAACAAGGGGCAATTTTGGGGCAGGAAAAAGCTAACAAAGTATTCAAAACATAGTGAACAGTGCAGACTGGTTGTATGAGATGATTCATTGAGGAAATTTTTGAGCATTTTAAAAAGACAAATGTTATGAAAAAATAGTTTTCATATATATGCAGGCTTTTAGAAAGGAGGAAACATACAGGAAACATAACTATGATTCTGGCTGCCACCTAACAATAGCCCAGGCATGTGATAATGATGATTTAAATTGGTGGTTAAAAAAAAAAAATGGAAAGGAAGATTCTTTTCCATAGATTGGTGGGGTTATGGAAGCAAAATTCAAAGCACTTAGAGAGTTTGAATCTGGGGAGAAGGAAGAAGAGCTATAAGTAGACTGTTAGGCTTTTGAACTTGAGTGACAGAATGTTGGTACTATTGTCTGAAATAGTGAACTAGAGAGAGAGCTGACTAAGAAATTGGGGGAAGGATTTTGCAAGCAAAGAGGAGGCATTGAGTTTAATTTTAGATGTGGTTAATTTGGAACTGTGGGGTATTGGTGTAAAAAGTTAATGCTGTGGGCATTGGTAATGTGCTAGAAGTAACTCATCCAGTGCATTTTAAAATCAGGTTTTTTGAAGTATAATTTGCCTAGGATAATATTCCCCATTTTTAAAAAGTAGACTTTTAGAGCAATGTTAGGTTCACAGCAAAATTGAGAAGAACAGATAATGTTACCCTGAACAGAAGGTACAGAGATTTCCCATATTCACCCCCCCCACCCCCCCCACCCCCACCCCTGGCCAACCACCACTACACATGCCTAGCCCAAGCCATTTTCTGCATCCTCACCTTATTGTACATTCATTACAGTTCACCCTACACTGACGTCATTACTCATAGTTTACATTAAGGGTATTAGGGTAAACAGAATGTACTCTCAATATTATACTTTCTATATACTCACCTTTTTAGGTGTATTGTGTGTTGTTTTGACAAATGTTTGCAGTTAAGTAATAACTATCACAACTAAGACATAGACCATTTCTATTTAATATTTCTGTCTACAGGGAAAAGTTCCTTTGTGCCCCTTTGTAGTCAGTTGTTTTGCAACAC